AAAATAGAGTCAATAGAACTCTGTACAAGATACAAACAAACAATCTGAAATTTCATTGAAAACCATGCATTTTTCATGATTTAGATGCTACTCTACGTGTTAAAGTTTGCTCCTGATAAGTAGGTAATGCAATTATTAATCAAGAACCTGCATAATAGTTGCTTAAAATTAAATATATCATACAGTTACATGCTGTACACAATAGTTATTGAAGAGTTTTTGAATTCGGAATAGTCTGGCCCGCTACATAAAGAAAATGTTTGGACTTACTTGGCCAATGCTGATTCGTCGCTAACTTCTTGGATATATGATTTAATCGATTGGTGCTTAAATCCAATTAACAGGTCACGTAAAGTCACTCACAACACGGAATTTATTAATTTTAACAATTAGTTTTTACACAGACACCATTGTACGTAGTACGTGCGCAAGCGCCGTTGAGGCTTGACCACAGATTATGTGTTGACTGTCGTAGCTTTTCCCGTGTTTTCTTTTTGAAAACGCGCAGCGCCATCTCTCGACGTACGTGCGAACTGTTTAGAGGGAAATGGAATAAGATAAGTTTATTCCAAATTCAAAAGCTCTCTTTACTGCTCTCTACTTCTTTACTATTTTTTAGTTTAAACTTTGAACTTTCCCTTTCCGTGAAAATATAGAGCAACTAGCTTTTGCCCGCGGCTTCACCCGCGTGAAATTTAGTGCCACAGATTGGCATAAATTATAGCCTATATGTTAATCTGGGTTACAAATAATAATATTGTAAAGTTTCAACCAAATCCCTTCAGTAGTTTTTGCGTGAAAGAGTAACAAACATCCACACAAACTTTCGCCTTTATAATATTACTTAGTAGGATTTCTGTGGCATTTTCTTCACAGTTTGATAGTAAATTGCATGAAAGAGTGAAAGGTCCCTAGAATACACCTTTATTGATATAAAATCGCCGAATAGCAATAAATTGCCCTGCGGCCGCGACGCCTCGAGTGGGCCAGCTCAGCGCGGCCGAGAGTCCTTCGCAGGTGGCCCGTCATACGGTTTCGAGATACGACTGTGGATTGTGTAGTGATGTTCATGATTGATGTATTGTTAGATATATCGATGATTAGAGATTTTTTAAATTACTTCATTAAGTAGATTCAATTGTGTTTTTAAAAGGGACTTTAGAACGATATCAATTTAGTTAAGAGTAAACCTTTTTTTGCAGAAAATACTTAGGTTTAGTACCTAGTTTCCTACATTATAACTACTATACTATACTGACTGTCTATTTAACTCTTATTATGTAAGGTCTTTCTATTCCAATTCCCAAAAATGTACCGAAGAGGCATAGATAAAATTAAACACTTCACTATCACAATGCTTACATCCTTATCTAGGTATTCCACATACCTACTTACCAGCCACAAAAGGATAAGCTCGAACAATAACCATTAGGTACACAATCCACATTATCAAATTCCCGACCAACCAATAAATCTCGCACAAATTAACTAAGCTGGGAACGTGTGCCGAAGGACAATATATTGTCGCTTGTACACAATTAAACATATTCCTTATCCACCATCGAGACGCGCAATGAATCCACAGCTCGGGCGGTGCCAAATTCACTGCCGCTCGAGCGCCGATACCCGCCGTAAATCGTTTAATTGAATTCCGATTATATAACAATTGTATCGATACTTTGGCACGCGCCCAGCGCGTCACTAGCGCGTGGCCCAAGACACAGATCATGCATCACGCTAACACTTACAGAAGCTGATGTATCGGAAAGCAAAACTTGAGTTTGTATTTATTTTTATCTTTGCTTTTGGTTTGTGAATTATTTTATTTCAGCGAGGGTTTAAGTTGACTGAGATTGTTAATCTTCACACGCACTTCGCCTTAATTGATGATTCAAGTCAATCATTTAATTTTATAACCAATTCAATCATCACGTAGAAACAAATTACCATACATAACATCAAGACTGAAGCATTGTTTTAGGAGAAAATAACTAATGCATGCCGCTGATGCCACTACCAACCGCGCGATATGGAAATCATTGGGGGAGGCCTTATGTTCAGCAATGCACGTCCTGTAGCTGAAATGATGATAATGATGACGAGACAAAGATGCTGATGTGTTAATGTTTATAGTGATTTAATTTGTAATTTTCTCAACTATCGATATAATTGTAAGACGGTGACATGACTAGCACTCGAGCGAAGACGGCCACGTCAGCCGATGCGCGATGGCTCGGCCGAAGATTAAAACGGATTTTTTTTTTTTTTTTTTTTTTATGCTATCCAAGGCAGGTATTTGACCGCAATCGCACCTGGTGTTAAGTGAGATGCAGTCTAGGATGGTACATATCTGCCCTGTAAGTGCCTATTCACTCTCGCCTTGAAAACGCCCGGATTATAGTGTTCAGGAAATACAGCAGCAGGCAGCGGATCCTATTATTGTGGAGATTGCAACATGATGGAACCTCCAATTGCATAATATTTCTAGGGTTCCGCATGCTTTTGATGGCTTTCATTCTAGAAGTAACATAATTATTTCTTGAGGGTAATAGAAAGATGTTTCATCTTCATTTGTTGGTAATCATAATCACAATATCTTTACAACAAGGTTTTCAATCAATAAAAAAAAGATAGGTAGGTCCCTGAAGGTTGATTCAACTGCCTAAGCTTTTTAAAATTACAGACAATTTACTTACGGCCATACATTATAGTTAGACGTCATAATTACTTAAAAGTTATTATTTACATAATTATGTATTTGGGAAAATATTAGGGCCTAATCGCCTTCTTTTAGGAATACGTCGAACAACGATTAGCTCTTGCCTTTAACATGCATGCTTTCCTCCTAACATAAAGCCCTGTACACACCCAGACTTAGCAGCGCTTCTGAAGCGATTCAGTTGCGATGCAGCAACTACTTTCAGCCGTCCATAGATATGATAGAGCAGCTGCGTGATGCAGTTAGATCCCTACATGATTGAACATGACTAGAGTCACTAGCCACCAGCGCTTGTTCCCAACCAGTCACTACAACGCGTGACTCATCATCATCATCATCATCATCATCTCAGCCATAAGACGTCCACTGCTGAACATAGGCCTCCCCCAATGCTTTCCGAGTGACTCGTTGGGGGAAAATGCTAAGTCACACAGTGTCACTCGTCAGAACATCTGTTTTTTTAAACTACAACGAGGAAGCTCTTGGTATCTCGCCTGATCTTCCCAATAAGTAACTACTTACTATCTTCCCAATCGGTCACTACAGCTACAGGCCAATTATCGGGAGGCGCGTTTATTTCGCTGAAGTGTTTCGTGTGTCATCAGCCTAAACCGTATGTTCGTTTTCACTTTCGACTGGACGATAAGGCGACTGTAAACGACCCCGTTGACAGCGTGCTCGATCACCGCCCTAATACCTAGGTACTAATTTGCATCTCTTGCATGTTATAAATTGCACTGAAAAACCCAGGGTTTGTTATTATGAAAGTCAACAGGCGGGCGGTTTGATGACATTTTGCCAAGTGACGGACGCAGAGAATGCGAGTGGCATGAGAACTCTTCCATACAACTACCGCTCATCCGGCATCATGACAATGTGTGTAACAAATAAGTAGCAGTAAACGTATGTAAGTAAATAGTATGTAAACGAATCTTTAGCATATTTTAGATTCCAATGGTCCTTAAAACCTGACGCGTTTTTCACTACTTAATATCGCAAAAGATCAAGTCTGATACCTTCCTATCACCCGCTTTTGTGCCCGCTGCGTCTACGCTTACTATAATAGCAATTTAACCGGTCCAATACACCAATATTAATACCGTACGCGTGAATACCGTTTTACCGCCAGTTTCGTAAAATCCATTCTAGCGGGTCTCTACACCCTTTAACTTTAAGAAACCCTGCCTTTCATGTTTGCTGGTGTTTTAGTTTCTGAGATTTCGTGATTAATCAGTGAGTTTTCCAAGTTATTTCCTCTATCAAGAACCACTTAAGGCCGGGCCACTCTGTCCTCAGTTTTTGTCTACATCTCAAAAACTCGTTCGGATCCAGTCTAGATTTGTTTTGCGGAGCGCCCGATCTCGTTTTGTTTCTTCGTTACTCTAATGGGATTGGCTCGAGATGTTCCCAGTCGTTTTAGAGTTAATCTACTTGCGTTGCTTTTCTTCTAGGTATCTTCGAGCCAGTTTATATGGATTTGATAGTAGGTAAGAGGAATTTTTATTTGTATTTGCAAAGTTCAATTTCATTTTTTCGCTATTATAAGATGATTGCTGACTGATTCAATACATAATCTCCAATAAGTACCTAAGTAGTCCACTGAGCGAGTAATCACTAGTAAGTCTGCGATTTAGTAAGAAAAGAATAAATATGTAACGCCTATTTATACCAAGTAATTGTAGGAAAGTAATGTTATTCAAAATATAGTTTTGGTTCCTATATCCCCAGACATTAGTGACATTTTTATACCTCTTGTTGACTGCACTGTACATACTGAAACACTGCTATTCCGTGCGCTTTCGTTACAATAATATACAGAGTGTACAGTTTGCACGTCACACTGACACCTAATAAGACTACCTACTGGCATTGAACAAGGTGTCCATAGAAAAGTTTTTTTATAGACTAATTTTAATAGACTTAAGACTATGTTCGATACGTCTTAAGCACATATTATGTACCTCCTGTGTCAATGTGAAATATCTGATAGTTTAGTTAAGGACTGGCCGTTAAAAGAATCGCTTTTGGAGCTAGAATTGTTCCGTTCGACTAATAAATTGAACCTGAGACTACTTAGTTGCACTAAAACTCTACATCATTAGATACATCTCGGCATCTCCCCACCAGAATAATTGTTTTCATTCTTTCTATGTCCATCAAAATCTCTACTAAATTCCTAGAACCGAATTTACCTTTGGCGATAAACGGTAGTCTATGTCCTACCCCTAAATCTCATTCATCCCCTATACTAAATTTAGGATAAATAAATAAAAGAGGCGTATATTTTTTATCATTTATTGTACATTATTCTTTTTGTAACACGATACAATATAAGCATTTCTATAACAGCATGCACTTACAATATACACCCCGACAGACGGGCCCATACATAATGTTACAAACGTTTGAACCGATGTATTGAAGATGACAGATATCCCGATATTGCAAGAAAGGAAACTGTATCAAGCATTATTTACTATACTATATAGCTAATATTATATTACTCCATGTTACGATAGTGATATATTCAAATTAAATAATGTATACTTGCCATACTTACATACATATAGGGTGTAGGACAGGTTGACAAAAACTTATGAGTGAAATCATGAAACTTTTGAACTTGCTATGATAACTTTATTAGTCGTCGTTCTAGGAATTAAGATACGCTTTTTGTTTAAAAATAATCACGATTTAAACTCATTTTTGGTTTTTGTCGACTGTCTGTTACACCCTGTATAAAGGGGAGGTCTAATCCTAAGGAATGGTAAGGTGTTTGACCTTATTAATTGGTCATGATTTGGACATAGGACGCACATTTTTAGACTACGTGTGTAGGTCGTAAAATAAATTGAGTAGTTAAAGTAACTACAGAGGTAGTAGGGCGTTAGTTATGGTTCAATGACGACAATTTGTGTAGTGACAGCAAACCTAATATCGAATTTGTTAATTTTATTCAACATATAAAGTCTACGCTTCCTAATATACAATTAATACTTTTTGGTCTGCCGTTCAAATATTTCATAAGTTGTTGTAAGTAAATAAGAAAATCTGCGCACTCCATTGTCATATTATTTAGTTATTTACCATATTAGGGCGACTACACAAGAACGATCGTTTCTAAACATTACATCTAGCGCATACGTGTAATTTCATTGTATAAAATAAATAGTTTTAGTTGATCAACAACTTCATAAAAGTAAGCTGCCGTTTGTTTAGAAAAAACAATTGAGCATTACTACATTTAAATGATTTTTTGATAAAAAAGTCAATAAAAATCGCAAGTATGCGCCGTCCTTTACTAACATTCAAATATCTTTGTCCAAATAAATAATTTCGAAAACGAATTGCGCTATGAAACAAACTTTTCTACCGATTTGCGTTTTGTGCCTAAAACCAACATCAAAACCGTAATAGTACATTAAAATAATGAGATTCGATGTGGCATTAATGTATTACAATACAAGTATGTGACACCACAACTAAAGCCCGTATTCACAAACATTACTATGAGGTCTCACAGTGCACGTGGACGCACAGAGTCACACACGAACCAATCACAGAGCTCTATTCAACGCTGTGAATTCGATTTGCTGCTTCACTTAAGCAAGCATCGTTTGTGAATACGAATGTGAAGCACCTAGTACTTGACTTTGATCACGTGATATTTGGTCCGAACTCCACAGTTGATGCGACGAAAGTCATAAACTATCCATAGACTATGACGTCATTCACTCCTTGGTCTAACAAAATCCACTTTGTGGAATATGTTTTAAGTTTTTACAAATATTTGATAGTTATTTTTTTTATGGGAATGTATTTTTAATACAAAGGATGTCGCTACCAAGTCATCACAAAATGACCAACTTTCCCAATGAATTTGAAACTTAATACCTTTAGAATAAGGTCCAAAATCAATACAGAAAGTTTGGCATTTCTTTGTTCGGTTGGTGACCAGCATTCCATAATGCGCAGCTCCAGTCTGCGTCTAAGAGTAAACGGACTTTTTATAACAATTAAAATTGCGAAGAAACCTTCGAATGGATATTTTGTATTCAAAATCAAACACTAAGCACCTGCTAAGTGTAAACTGTACCTTACGCTATACAAATATGAAACACGAATAAAAAATAAAAACTATAATACGTATGACGCCTTGACATAACACAATTTATGTAAAATACCTTAAAATATTTCGACAAATCGAATCGGCTTTCCAATATCATAATAAAAAAATCTAAACAACTACTTAGAAAAAACATTTGAGGCCATTCGGACCAGGAATTTGACGTTTGATACAAATTAGAAAAAGCAGATTGATTTGTCGAGTTACCTTCTACTGATATCCATAGAGTAGCAGAAAAATAAAAATCACATTTAAAAATAGAAAAATAAAATCTTTTAAAAGGAATCTCATGTATCGAAGTTGATCAGAATTACTTGAAATTATATACAAAACTATAGTATTATGTAACATGCCATTACTGCTGAATCCCGCTCGCCACGTGTCCTTTCGCTGGCAGAATCCTGCGCACATAAAAAACATCTATTACTTTTTGCTTAGTCACTCATCTTTTTCAGACAGATGAGAGACACGTTTGTTGCAAAATGGTACCGGTTAAAGCCCGGTCTGTGAGCACGTAGAATTTTGTCCAATGACCCCAATTTACCCATCCTTATCGCTCGCGCGTAATATTGCTGTCGCGACTGTGCGACGGGCGCCCGTAGTAAGTGTGCGAGCGCGACAGCAACATAATTACGCGCGAGCGATGAGGATAGCTTGGGGTCATTGGACAAAATTCTACGTGCTCGCAGACCAGACTATAGATGTGTGAAATGATGCAATGAAGTTATAATGGAAGAGGCAATAGCCCAAAGATGTCGAATGTCGGACTGCCGATTCGAATTTTGAGAAACTCTGGTTATAGAACTCGGTGACGGGTATAGACCCGTCACCACTAGACTATTGGGGTGAAACCATTCCAAACACAAGCATACAATCCGGTTGAATTAACTGCGCACCACGCAACCGTGACGTCACATCGACGCTCTGGTACAGACGGGGCGAACGCGGGAAGGTGTGCGAGTAAAGTGGAAGAGTCGCATTCTAGCGAGTTGCGCAGTTAGCTCGATCTGGTTGCTATTTAGCTTACTTATAGGGGTTATGTGCGTATTAGCACAGAATAATAATAAGTACTACGTACAGAAGTTTTACTTCGCGAAGGTATTTTAAAAAATGTATGCTCAATGTCATTAACAATATGGTGTAATTTAGCTTGTCTCAAGAGTCAAGCAAGTTTGTCAGAAGTTTTGTTGACAAACGTCAGTGATCGGTACTGCGCCGAAGCTATAGGGCTGACTTCGGTAAAATGATGTGACGTGAGGTGCCAATCTGCAGAAAATGGCGGAGGAAATACATGATTTAGCATGAATTATCGTGAATAATTATTAACTACTTATTTACCTCTCAGTGTCTTGAGGCAACTTAAAAAAGTACATTCTGTGTTTTTATTATTATTTAGGCAGTTAAATACTGCACAGTATTTAGTACACCATTTTCTTTATCTTCTTCCATCATACACAAGAATACGCGTGCGTGAGTCAATGTTCGCTCGTATGTGAGGCCTTGTCGAATAGTACTCTTGTAGGGGGCAATCGTGCGTGTTTTGTTTTCGATGTAAACTCGCGGAGATGAACAGGCCTGGTATTAGTGAATTGCTTATCACCAATTACTGGTTACTTTTAAAGATATTTACTCACGTTAGCCGGTAGTCCTTAGCATCTGGTCTCGTAGAGCCCGGAGCGGCCGATGTAGCGCACCCATTTGATGACGTCGTGGTCGGAGTAGTTCAGCTTGGGCTCGAACACCTTCAGGTATCGAACCTGCAAACCAACGACACCTTAGGTAAATATTGCAGAACGAAGATCAAATATCGAGCATAGGTTTAGACTTATAATTGAATTTCAATACTAAGAGTTAGACCAAACATTATAACTAACTATTAGTGACAGACCTTTTTAAATACATATTGTTGGAAATAGAGATTCCTTACTCAAATTATTACGTTGCTACTTCGAAGTGGTGGTAGGGCAATGTACAATGTACATAACATTGTACATTAAGGACGAGTATGAGTACTCTGAAAAGCTCCTGAGTAAATTAAGTCCTCTGCTGCCTCTCCCTCCCTCATAAATTAGATAAGATAGTCCTTAGTCCCTGTGATTCTTCCCGTGGATATTTGTGGAGGCGACTAATTAGACTTCCACAATGAAGGCCAAATTCATTTGTCTATGGTAAATTAGAGCAGCGTGTTTTTTCAGTGGAGACTAAATGACCTGACGATGACATAATATTTATATGAAAGTACGAGACTATTCTCACCTCTCGTTCCCACCACTGCAACTCCTGTGTAGCCAGGATCTACAACTTGACCGCCAATAAAAACCGAACCAGTGAAGGTCAAGTTTGTCCCGGGGGAAAGTTAAACTGTCATTGGACCCGCAACAAAAATCAAAAGAACATAGGAGAATTTAATCAGAAGATATGAGAGTAGTGACCTTGAACCCTGAAGGTGCGAAAGGAACCTCGAAGCCCATGGAGATGGGCGGGCGCGTCCACTTCTTCTTGGTGTCCGTTTCCAGAAGCTCGATCTCTGCCGATAGTTGCGTCTCTTTCATCCCCGCCATGCGCTTGATCCTGGGAACACAGTTTGAACCTTGTGGTAAGGGTGTAAAGTCTAAAATTTATTTGAGCACAGCTAGCTAAGGTTCTTTCATGCCCGCCATGCGCTTGATCCTGGGAAAACACGATATTGAACCTTGAGGTAAGGGTGTAAAGTCTAAAATCTTTTGGGAAACAAATGCGTCTCCGTCATGCAAGCCAAGTACTTGATACTGGGAACACACGATTTTTAACTTTGTTATAAAGGTCCAAACTTGTCAAAGGGCTTCTTAAAATTAAACGTTTTGAGCAAGACGTCGTACGTTTGCAAGAACCGACCACTAAGGCCCAGAACAGACGGTGAAACGCAACTGCAACGAAACTGCAACTGCTAGTTACTTTTGAGTTGCATCTAAGTTTCTGCCATAGCGTCCGTTGAGAGACCACACATGACGCGACCAGTTTGAAAGTTTCAGTTTCATTCATCAGAATCATCAGAAAGTTGCAGTTTCGTTGCAGTTGCGTTTCACCGTCTGTTCTGGGCCTTACTGTGTTTGTTGCAAGTTGCTTGTAAAGCAATTTTATAAAATTTTCCGTGTGCGATTCTGTAATGAAGAACTAACGTCCGACTCCAAATGTCTTATTTAAAAGAGCCCTTAATCTGTTCTTACTATCGACTTTAATACAATTCAAGATGACAAAAATGCTTAGAAAGATCAGTTTCACGAAGTAAAAGAACCTTGCTTTTATTAGTTCTCTGTTAGCAAATAATTCTATCCGAAACTTAAACTAAAAGTTGTATTTTATCTGTCACAAAGTTCCTAAGAGGCTATCAAGGATTTCCTCAGTAAGTTGTGAAACAGCTCGTAAGACAAACACAAACAGGACACTTTGGTCGCAGAAATCTTTTTGGCCAATATCAAGTGCGCAGATTTTACACGTAAAAAAGATCGAAGTTTAACAGTGGTCTTAAATTACTATAATTAATGCCGTAACGTTATTATTTGGACACCAAAAAGCCATGAACTAGTCGTAGTTATCACTAATAAAAATTAAGAAGTGAACTTGAAAAAATTAAATACCATCACAATGCACTTTAGTTCGGATGACACGTGAAAACAATTGACAATATTGGCGGACTATGCTGGCAGCCGACCAACTCCCACCAGTGTTTTTAGCTAGTTATGTGTTGTTGTAAGTATAGTAGGAGGTAATAAAGATCGTGTAGTAGAAATGGCTATTGAATCACAGATTGTAACTTTACAATATCTCACCACACTGGGCTACGAGTTTGCGTAAAAACGCAAACAAGCTGATGGGAAAAACAATATAACTTGAAAAAGTTAAATTTATATATTCATAACATTTTATTTTTCTGTGATGAAGAGACAAACCTCTAAGCTAAATCAGTGTTATTGCATTATTTTAGTTTTAATGAACGATAAGGTTACTTTCTTTAAATGACTTCGACATGTATTAACAGCTGACTCTTTATGTCATGTACCTGCACAGCATTGCCCTGTATGCCCTGTATGTATAAATAAAAATAACTTCAATCAACGTATTATATTCAAGCTTTAACGGCTGGTTACTCTTTATATTATGGACCTACACAACATTGCCCTGTACGGCATTGCCCTAAATGACCTGTACATACAAATACAAAATTAGTACTCACTTCCACACGATGGCGTTTTCAGAGGCCTTGTACTTGGCCTTGCCCTTGAGGCAGATGAGCTGCACGCCACTGGTGTTTAGTGGCGTCGGGATTTTCACCTACACACAGAACAACAGGTTATAAATATGGTCATTTGTTCCAAAACATTTCAACATTTACCATATAAACAAATAGGTAAATCTTTGTTAAATCTGTGATACGAACAAGTCTTCCCAAGCACTATAGTGGCTACATTTGACTAATACAACCCAAAGGCATGAATACAGGGTGTCAGGTAAATGGGTATATGAACCAACACTAGCCCATGTTAACATATTTTATTCATACTAAATATTCATACAAAATAAAATTTATAATTAAAATAATTAAAATGATGATATCAATTTTCTGACTTCACCATACCATTTATATCATGCACATGTTAACATGGGCTAGTGTTGTTGGTTCATATACCCATTTACCTAACACCCTGTATAATTTTGTGAAAAGTTTGTATTCAGCAAAATGAAAGACTTAACGTTAGTATAAGTAAAGGATGCACAAAGTACAAACTGTACATGTACGGCCTACCCGCCAGCGACCTAATAAAAATAGCGAAGTTGTAACAACCTGAGGGTTTGAGTTTACATCAAACGTCGTACTAGTGAGCGCGTAAAAAAATTACCTCAAAATTACTTTCAAGAACTAAAATCAATATTTATTAAACGCGCTCACTAGTGACGACGTTTATTGTAAACTCACACTAAGCCCTCTGATGAGATAGCAGATATCACGCTCCAAAGAATCTGGAAAATAGACTCAACGGGACTAAGCAGTGAACTCTAAAGACAAGGGCTGCCACAATAGATCAAACCTGGTCGAAATGGCGCAAATGAAGGCCCAAAACCAATAATAATAATAAAGCCCTCTGAACCTTTATTCAGTTGTTTTTATTTTCTACGGCCCGCTTTTAGCTCACTATCTGCCCGAATAACCCCTGGTCCCAGTAAGTGTGTGCATCCCTGGTGTAAGTAAAGGCTGACCTCGATCTTCTGTCCCAGCAGCGAAGGCTTGAAGTTGCTCTTGAGCACCACCTTGACCTCCATCTTGGTGCGGCCTACCTCGCGCACCAGAGGAATCACGCGGAACGGCAGCGAGATGTCCTTCGTCGTGCGGTACCTGCGCAAACAAAACATAAAACAGCTGTTTTTCTTACTATTCAACCAATGAGGGCTATCGTTTTTATACTTAACAGTTGGCACCCCTGGCGATTGACAGGACCTTACTCTACAGTGGCGCCATCTTGATGAGTGCAAATAAGATAGTCCTCCTACCACTTTCGCGCTCACCAGTTGGTGCCACTGTCTTCGCTACTAGCAAGTGACAGGACCTTACTCTACAGTGGCGCTAACTGGTGAGCGCTAAAACGATAGCCCTCATTATTACAGTACCCGGCATTAAATATTGCACATCGACCTTTGGAAAGAGAATCGGATAATTTCGGCTTGTAGAGCGTTATCTCTGTCGCACACTACCTATACGATGACAAAACGTCATTGACAAAACAATTATTCAATGAAAATATTGTCCGAACCCTTAGTATTTCTCTTCGACAAATACTTTAACACATTGTGAACCACTTTTCTTTCACAACTATAAAAAGTTTTTAGCAATTTAATTTACAAAATCAATTGCACACATTTAAATTCAAATTCAAAATAAAGTTGGTTTACACTTTGACAAAACGTCATTGTCAGTCGTTGTTCAAGTGCGACAGTGATAACGCTCTACGAAACCGAAATTAGCCGATTGTCTCTTTCTAAAGGTCGATGTGCAATATTTATCGCCGGGTATTGTACCAACTCTTGTTCCCACCGCTGCAACTCCTGTATAACCGGAATGTACAGCTTGACCGCTAATAAAAACCCAACCAATGAAGGCCAAGTTTATCCCGGGGAAAGTTAAACTGTCATTGGACCCACAGTGAAATTAATCAGAAGTGCGAAGTAGGTTCGACTTCCCTTTAGTGCAAAGCGGATGACAGGACAGGTGACAAAACAAAGGTTTAACAACCTTTATGAAAAGATACACACCACGAATATAAGCAATACCATTGATGACTGACCTCATGAGCTCAAGCTCAATACAACCTGATCGAACTAACGGCACACCTCGCTAGAATGCGACTCTCCCTCCCATTAGCACAGAATAAGTAATAGTACAGGTACAGAAGGATTACTCCGCAAGACGATTTAAATAAATGCGAGTCTTGCTACGACGTGATACAGTGGAATTCAGCTCGCAAAGCACTACGTACCTACAATTTTATTCACCTACAAGTTTTGTCTCTTTCTATCGCGTGCCTCTGAACTCTTCTTACGCTGTTAGGGTTGCTGTCTAGTGAAAAAATAATTAATCTACTTATTTGTAATGAGGTACGTATGTAGGTAAGTATGCATTCATTATGGAAAACATTGGGAGAGGCCTTTGTCCAGCAGTGGACGTCATTTGGTTGAAACGAACGAACGCATTCTGAGCAGTAGTCATAGTAGGTTAGGTTCCTATACTATCCTATATAAGAATTATTGATTACCTACATGGCCAACATACCTTTCAGCATCTTTGGGAAGCGAAAAAAAAAGATAAATCCGGTAGATTTCTTTTCGAATTTAAACACCCGAACGCCGCACAATATTTCTTTCTCTTTATGTCCATTTTTAAATAATACTTCGATCATAGAATTATAATCATACTACAACGCACGCCAGCGTCCTGACGGGCGCGCGCGTGACACTCGACTGATATAATACCCGCCGGCGGGGCGCTTCGCTGTAGGTAATTATCGGATGTACCGCGCGGAGTGAGCCAGGCCTGCCATTAGTCCCACTTACCAGCACGCCTCCTTGCATTCGCCCTGTCTGTACCAGAGCGTCGATGTGATGTCACGACTATCAGGTGCGCAGTTAACTCGACCTAGTTGTAAGAGGCGTTTTGTTCCACTGACCCCATGAGCTCAAACTCCCCGTCGGGCGGGATCAAAGAGATGAAATGCTCCGTCTCGAACTTGCTGAGCTTGACAGAGCTCAAACTCGACATGAGGCTTTTTGTTCCACTGGTCTCATGAGCTCAAACTTGACACGAGGCGTTTTGTTCCACTGACCTCATGAGCTCAAACTCGACATGAGGCGTTTTGTTCCACTGGTCTCATGAGCTCAAACTTGACACGAGGCGTTTTGTTCCACTCACCTCATGAGCTCAAACTCGAAGCGTTTTGTTCCACTGATCTCATGTGCTTACTGGACACGAGGCGTTTTGTTCCACTGACCTCATGAGCTCAAACTCGACATGAGGCGTTTTGTTCCACTGACCTCATGAGCTCAAACTCGACATGAGGCGTTTTGTTCCACTGACCTCATGAGCTCGAACTCGACACGAGGCGTTTTGTTCCACTGACCTCATGAGCTCGAACTCCCCGTCGAGCGGTATGAAAGAGATGGAGTGCTCCGTCTCGAACTTGCTGAGCTTGACGCACTGGTGGAACTGGCAGTCGTCGATCACCACCACGGGCTGATCCTGGCTGCCCAGGAGTTGCAGCGGTGGGAACGAGAGGGAATAGTCCCGTGACTGACCTTATGAGCTCAAACTCGACATGAGGCGTTTTGTTCCACTGACCTCATGAGCTCAAACTCGACATGAGGCGTTTTGTTCCACTGACCTCATGAGCTCAAACTCGACATGAGGCGTTTTGTTCCACTGGCCTCATGAGCTCACTGGACACGAGGCGTTTTGTTCCACTGACCTCATGAGATCGATCTCGACACGAGGCGTTTTGTTCCACTCACCTCATGAGCTCAAACTCGAGGCGTTTTGTTCCACTGATCTCATGTGCTCACTGGACACGAGGCGTTTTGTTCCACTGACCTCATGAGCTCGAATTCGACACGAGGCGTTTTGTTCCACTGACCTCATGAGCTCAAACTCGACACGAGGCGTTTTGTTCGACTGACCTCATGAGCTCAAACTCGACATGAGGTGTTTTGTTCCACTGACCTTATGAGCTCAAACTCGACATGAGGCGTTTTGTTCCACTGACCTCATGAGCTCAAACTCGACATGAGGTGTTTTGTTCCACTGACCTCGAGAGATTAAACTCGACATGAGGCGTTTTGTTCCACTGGCCTCATGAGCTCGAACTCGACATGGAGCGTTTTGTTCCACTGACCTCATGAGCTCGAACTCGAGGCGTTTTGTTCCACTGACCTTATGAGCTCAAACTCGACATGAGGCGTTTTGTTCCATTGACCTCATGAGCTCAAACTCGACTTGAGGCGTTTTGTTCCACTGACCTCATGAGCTCGAACTCCCCGTCGGGCGGGATGAAAGAGATGGAGTGCTCCGTCTCGAACTTGCTGAGCTTGACGCACTGGTGGAACTGGCAGTCGTCGATCACCACCACGGGCTTGCCTGAGCGCGCCGGGTCGCTGTCCGTATTGCCAGAGATGCCACCTGGAACAATGATACAGGGTGAAAGATTAGTAATACGAGTAGAGCAGTTAGCATCAGCAATCAATGATTATTAAACAAATTCTAATATAACAGAATAATTATACTTCGGGCAGATAAAATTGTTCGCAAAGGTATTTTAAAAATGTCATCAATATAGTAAAAAATATGGTGCAATTTAGCTTGCCTCAGAGTCCGGCACGGCTTCGTTTACATATTAGAGAAATCCACTGCAAGCTAATTTCACTCTTTATTACTCGACAAAACTATTCAAATTACACTAATGAGGGTTTTCGCGTATGAAAGATCCGCTAGATGGCGGGACGTGGATGTGTGGTCTGACTGCTGCGTGATTGGTGGATTTTGACATATCTGTCAATGTCATGTCAAAAATAACCAATCATGCAGCATTTGGACCTCGCGTCTACGTATTGCTATCTGGCGGATTTTTCATACGCGAACACCCTCATTGTCCATGCCGACGTGGCCGCCTCGCGTGTTTTGTTTTCGATGCCTACTCGGGGAGATGAACAGGTCTGGTAATATAGCCCTATTTTACACTCAAATAGGAGTAACCTCATTTTGAACGTTACTGCCTTGTATTAAGGTCTACTCACCGTTGCCCTTCCCCTTGGCCTCCATGACGATCTTGTCGTTGATCCCGAACTTGCACTCAGGCATGCCCGACAAGTAAGACTTCATTACAACCTTGCCTGCCACGTGTGCTGACAGCACTTGACCTGCAGAGTATAATGTAACTTAAGTTAAAGGTGATAAGGTTGAGGATGGGTTGCACAAATGATAAAATAATAGGTTCCTTATCTATAATGATAGTGCATTGGATTTTTTTTAACAAGTGAACATGTCACTTTATTCATACCACTCTAATCTTAATGATACTGAAGTATCTGGAACCAAAATTAATGGTTAAAAATATTTCGTGGGAAAATGCATTCTTCAAAATCACTCAGTCTCATTTTCTACATTCATTTCCACGTTCGTGGGAAGACTGTCGGGGAAGATGGAAAATATCTCTCTAAAATTCAATTCATGATATTTATGGGCCCAAAAGATAAGGAGACATATAAAGTGCCCCATAAGGGCTACCTTTTTTTCTATTTACTATATTTTGACGTTCATAAGACCTGTGGTCTAAATTGAATAAATATTATTTATTTTGATTTTTTTGATTTTGATTTTAATGTACAAATTCTTTAATACACAATTAACCACCATACCTTGCGGCGACATGAGCAGATTGACGTATTCAAGAACGTCTAGGAACAGTTCGTTGCGCCGGTACTTGATGCCTTCGCGTCGCCAGCCGATCTGACCAGTCACCTGCAATGGGAAATACATCAGACTGTTTTTACCCGACTACGGCAAAGCAAAAGGAGGGTTATGATTTTGACAGGCTATGTATGTATGGTATGTATGTATGTATGTATGTATGTATGTATGTATGTTCATCTGTTCCCTCGTAACTTCTAAACTACTTATCAGAATTCGACAAATGACATATTATTAGAAGCGTCTTAATTGTCCGCTGGTTATAGGCTATATGGGGTTTCACAAAATCTAATGTGGCGCCCTCTAGCAGACAAAACATACAGAGTAAAATAAAGTTAAGATAAATATGCCGTGTTTGGTATCATTTGAAAGCGCTTTACTTGTACATTTAGAATATATATATTACTAGCATTTGCTTGTGACTTTACCTGTATTCATGGGCTGATTGCATATAATTCACATCTTTTCGTTCATAACTTTTGTTAATTTTATGCGCCACAAATACACTTTAACACCAAAATAGTACAAATAATAAATAAAAAGTAAAAAAAACTAAAACCCAACTACGACAAAAAACGACGCTGAAAAAGTATAAAACAAGATTTTCAGAATACTGAACTGAACAAAGTTGCTAATGTAGTTGCATAGTAATTTTCATGTTTGGAAAGGCGTAGTCACACGTTATATATACCTACCTACCGTAGCACTTTGACAACGTGTGACTGCGGTTTTCCAAACATGAAAATTACTATGCAACTACATTAGCAACTTTGTTCAGTTCAGTATTCTGAAAATCTTGTTTTATACTTTTTCAGCGTCGTTTTTTGTCGTAGTTGGGTTTTAGTTTTTTTACTTTTTATACTTGCGATACTGGCTGAATATGTGTCCCTCAAGGACAACTGGCAAATGTGGAAACAAATATCGCCATTATGAAAGAAGAGCGGGACCTCTCTCTTTTGTCATTCAGTTATTGCTAACTTCTTTTCTTCTTTTTGCGGTTACCGCGAGCCAACTTATCTATCAACGTGCTATCAAACTGGAAGGCGTTCTACACTGCGTTTTCAGAAATGTGGTCTCCATTCATAAAGAAACAAATCTGATGACCACAGATTTCTACTATTTACATACTAAAAATCTGGTCAAATGTATACTGACAGAAAAACAAAAGGGTTTGCAAAACCAGTAAGATTCCCAAATGAAAATTTTCTAAAAAGGGGTAGAATATCATCAAATTGAACTAAATAATAATAATCTATATATACAGTGTGTCCGGGCATGTAGTGATCAAACTTTAAGGGCGTAATCTATGGACAATTTCATCGATGAAAATACTTCAAATTTGGGGCCTGACCCATTTCTCGAAAAATTACATCGATTTAAGTTTTTAATTTTTAGTTTACACCTCTTCTTTAAAAAATAAGTGAAAGCGTGTGTAGCTTAACATTAATAGGCAAATATTTTATATCATGCGATAGCCAATAAAATTATCTATTAGTTGAAGAAGAAACCAGACACAAGTTTCATACATTTTATGGGAGTAAGAATGGATTTAATTAGAAAAATACATTACTTTTTTCACTTCTTTTTCAGTTATTTTCCAACACAAGAAAAACCAGGTCGTTAAGGTATGTTTTATTTGCATTGTATTTTTAGTATTTGAGCTATTCTATAAAACAAATGTAAATTTATTAGTCTACGTCTATTAGTTTGGACGTAATTGTTGAACAAAGATACCCCTTTCCAGCGGTTTCCATAGCGCACGCGACATGCGAAAATGCACTGCCTGAAAGAATCACACAACCTATTCCGATTACTATGGAAACCGCTGGGAAGGGGTATCTTTGTTCAACAATTACGTCCAAACTAATAGACGTAGACTAATAAATTTACATTTGTTTTATAGAATAGCTCAAATACTAAAAATACAATGCAAATAAAACATACCTTAACGACCTGGTTTTTCTTGTGTTGGAAAATAACTGAAAAAGAAGTGAAAAAAGTAATGTATTTTTCTAATTAAATCCATTCTTACTCCCATAAAATGTATGAAACTTGTGTCTGGTTTCTTCTTCTACTAATAGATAATTTTATTGGCTATCGCATGATATAAAATATTTGCCTATTAATGTTAAGCTACCCACGCTTTCACTTGTTTTTTAAAGAAGAGGTGTAAACTAAAAATTAAAAACTTAAATCGATGTAATTTTTCGAGAAATGGGTCAGGCCCCAAATTTGAAGTATTTTCATCGATGAAATTGTCCATAGATTACGCCCTTAAAGTTTGATCACTACATGCCCGGACACACTGTATAAAAGAAAGTCGTGTTAGTTACTCCACTTATAACTCAAGAACGGCTGAACCGATTTAGCTGAAAATTGTCAGGGAGGTAGTTTAGAGCCAGGAGAAGGACATAGGATACTTTTTATCCCGTTCGAAATAAAAAAAAGTATTGCCATTAAGGCGGAACAAAGTTCGCCGGGTCAGCTAGTAATAAATAAATCTTTGGACAATTTCACACAGCGCCAGCTAGCCCCAAAGTAAGCAACTTAATGCTTGTGTTATGGGTGCTAGCTTAACGGATATACTACTTATATACTTTTTTTTTTAAATACATAAATATTATACATAGTCACACCCAGACCCGTCACAGAAATTAAAATTCATCATTTCAATTTCTGCCCGGCCGGGGATCGAACCCGGGACCTCTCGGCATAGTAGTCCGTTCTGAACCACTACACCAAACGGCCGACATAATAAATAATGAAACAGAAGAGAAGAAAATAAATTATGTGGAACTCTCTCATCACATACCTGTGAGGTGATCTGTGCCTGTTCTTCCTTGGAGGCAGACTTGATGCCCTGCTGAGTGATGAATGTCTTCAGGACTCCAGTGTCTGAGTTCTGAGGGTATCCAAAGTCCAGGATCTCTGCAAAACATTGATTTGTTTAAATACAGCATACAATAGTGATAATTACTTGGAAATTAATAATAGGCTGTTGAAGTTCCGTGTGACGTCACAAAGTGCTACATTTTTAACCACACCTCGAAGTCACGAGCTTCTTTTGAACTTTGGCTTTGTCTATTTCAATTTTCATTAGTTTGAAAAATTAAAAAATACGTTTCGAGTATTTTTTGATAAATTATCTGACGGCCTCATTCAAACTCTTGCTTTTTTACCTAGAAAACATACCTATTGTAAGTGGTATTATACAGAATATCATTTTTTAACATTTTTCTTACCATCAAGCAACTCGTAGATCAGAACGAAGTTGTTCTTGATGTTCTCTTCGGAGATTTTTCCGAAGTAGGACTGCATGACATCGATGATCTTCAGAAGGAACTCGAACACCATGGCAGCGTTCACATTCTGCTTGGTAACTGCAGCCAGCCAGATGTTGGCTCGCTGTGGACAAACATTGGTTCAGTTTTATTTAATACTAGCTTTCCACCCGCGTAGAATTTTGTCTATCACAGAAAAACTTTATCGCGCGCATCCCTGTTTCAAAAACCGGGATAAAAAACTATCCTATGTCCTTTCCCGGGACTCTCTATGCCAAATTTCAACAAAATTGGTTCAGTGGTTTAGGCTTGGAAGTAAGACAGACAGAGTTGCTTTCGCATAATATAATATTAGTATAGAAGTATAGATAGTATAGATATTAGTACATAATATAGATTATTTTCTTCTTGTTCTTCTTGTCTTAACAACAATAAACCTACATAATGTCAACCCAATAATCTGCTTCAAGAGTGGCGTTTACTATTTTTATATGCACTTTTCCCTGTTTGTGAGATAATAATGAATATCTATTTGTGAGAACCTGTTTAATGGTTTCTTAGTTTTTTTTTTTAGTGTTATTTTTTCATTTACCTAATCAAACAGGTATTTTAAATCTTAGTCTTCCTTATCGTACTAATATTATAAAGAGGAAAGATTTGTATTTTAATACCAAAAAAATCTAGCACTATTAGACCAATCAAAAAGTTCTTTAGAATGCTATATTACTTAGGAATTCGTTCATTCGTTTCAGCCAAATGACGTCCACTGCTGGACAAAGGATTTTCAAAAGAATTTCCATAACGACCGGTCCTGTGCCAGCTTCCAGGGGAAGTATCTCACGATCTTTGGTCTGTCCTCCGCTCCGGCCCGTAAACTCAAGAGTAACATAGGGTTATAGCCAAATATTTAGGGGAGGCCTATGTTCAGCAGTGGACGTCCTATGGCTGATGATGATGATGATAGCCAAACCTTTATGTGGAAGAGTGAAGTCCTAGCGATGTTGGTGACGGGCGACCGCACTTGCTGCCGCGCGTGGATGACGTCACAAGTATACATATTGGAGATGTTTGAAACATAATATTGACTTCCTTGCGTTGCAAAGACAGAGACAAATGACTAATAAGCATGGGTACACAGGGGGGGGGGGGGCAATGGGGTCAGGGGTAGGGGGGGCAGCTGCCCTGCTGGAAGTCGCTAAAGTCGAAGTTTGAAGGAACTAAGTCAAACTATCCTTCGTTCGTTGGTTTCAGCCGAAAGATGTCTGATTTTTTGCCAAGGAACCCTAACTGATTATACTTTTCCTAGCGGAACTCCCGTACTACTCCGCCCGCACGCCCTGCCTCTCCCTTGTGCGTAAACAAGTCGGTGCGAGCGAACAACGTCGGTCACGAAACGTGGGATGATATTTTTTACGGAACCCTTGCGCCCTTTCCACGGAACCCCAGGGTTCCGCGGACCACCTTTCGGGAACCGCTGATCTAACCTTTATGTGGAAGAATGAAGTCCTAGCGATGTTGGTGACCGGCGAGCGCACTTGCTGGCGCGCGTGGATGACGTTCACTCGGAAGGCGTCCACAGCATTCCGGCCGATGTCGTCGCGGTACACCCGCGAGATCAACACCTCGCCCTTGTGGTTGTACACGAATAGGCCCCCAATCATGATGGATGCCTGGACATAAATAATATAAATAATAAATAAACAAATATCCTTGGATATTTTACACTGCGCCTCTAGTCCCAAACTAAACAAAGCTTGAAATGTACTATGGGTACTCGACAACGGATATAAACATGCTTAAACGCTATTTTTGTAAAATACATGTTATACATAGAAAACACCCAGACCCGTCATAGAAATTAAAATTCATCATTTCAATTTCTGCCCGGCCGGGAATCTAACCCGGGACCTCTTGGCATAGTAGTCCGTTCTGAACCACTACACCAAACAGCAGACTTAATAAGCTTTAGGCTTATGTAAAACTCATTTTGCAACTATGCTGTCTGTAATTAACAAAGCTGTATGTGTTCCTATAAAAATAAAGAAATGAAAAAATAAATCAGGATAATCTTATCGTCCAAAGCTGCAGTGGTACGGTTAAAACTAAGACATGTAAATGCGCTATTTTAAGACAACTTTTCTAAAAAAATTATTCCCCGAAACAGTTTGTAATTTTCTGAAAAATGTTATTTACAGTAGCTTCTATGAATACTTAAGAATAACTTTCATTGAGTAGTTAAAAAGTGATAGGTACTACAGGTTTTTTTTCCTTAAAAAATGTAAGAAAGAGATTAATACATTCCTCTTATAGCTAATTTATGTCCCAGTATAATTTTACCCCTACCTAGGACACCGTTCAAAAAAAGTATGTCCATTGAAGTCTTGCAATCACTTGCAAACGTTAGTTGTGTCACTGAGCTCTGTCTGTATTATTTCAAAATTCTTACTTCTACAATTTAAAATTACAGAATAGAACCAGAAGTAAAAAATTTGGTAGTTTGGTATTTTCTAATTTGATTGTGGTAAACTGGGCCCAGTTTGATTCATTTGTTGGGATGATTACACCACTGAATATTTTCTAGGGGTTTATTGGGCCCTATGTGACGCTGCCTCAAATAAAGGGAAATTAAAAACAAGTCTTAGACTTGTTAAACCCCTAGAAAATATTCAGTGGTGTAATCGTCCCAACAACTGAATCAAACTGGGCCCAGTTTACCACAATCAAATTAGAAAAGACCAAACTACTAAATTTTTTTGGTCCAAGTTTAAGACAGGAACGAGACACTTAACACATTATGGCAAAAGTCTAACTCGATGATTAGTAGCTAAATATTATGCATTTCAATTTCATTACACAAAGTAGGTATGCAAAAAAGGGGTGTTACAATAAGATTAAAATAATACAAAAATTAACTCCATGGAACTACTACTGTCAACTTCTATATGATATTTAAATAATTGCTGCTTCAACTACAGATTGATGAAGTCCTACGAGGAAATAGATCATGAATCAATAGGACAGGACAGGATATGGCCAATATACCGTAGGCACTGTGAACGGGTAGAACAGAAAAATAATACCTTAATTTATCCACTCACCTATTGTCCTTTACGGTCAGTCATCAGGTACAAAACGGTTCTAAATAATATCCTGCATACAGAGTACGCTAATTATTTCCATTTTTCTATCGAAATAAAATGATACCGCCCCCGAAATGAAACGTCAATAGTGTTTCTGCTAGTGATGTTACGCGATTCGATAATTACGATAAGCCGTTGTCGATACTAGCATGGACGATCGAGATTCATGAATCGTGCGATATAAGGCCGCTTTCTGATTTGTCGGCGTGGCAACGGCACACACGACTATCTGCACGCTCGCCAATCGCGGTAAAGAAAGCTTACCGAATGTCTATATTTCAATGGAGCGTTCCTGGGCCCCGATTACGCTAAATATTTTCATCTTAAACGTGCCCGGCCCGGACGTCAGCTGTTTTGACAAATCCGTATCGCAAAATCGAAGAAGCGCGTCTGTATTGGAGACATTAAAAATTAGCGAAATCGGGGCACTGCCTGGGTGGTGTGGCGTGGCATGCTTGGCAGCGGCGCGGCACACTCAATCAGGAATTAATGCTCCATTGAAATATAGGCGCTCGGCAAGCTTCAGAGTACATTTCAGTAAGTTTTCGGTAACGTGTATGCCGTGCGTCAAGTCAGAAAACGGCCTTAGAAAAATTCCTCACATTTTAAATATAGTGATGACTTTTGCTTGATGCATGAATGATTATAAAATTTAATAAAAAACATAGGTACAGTAACTTTGCATTGAGAAAATCAAAAACAATATCACCTTTACATTTTATAATAACTCATAATCAGATATTTACATTCTTCAATAATGATAAATAGATATTTTCCATTTTTGATTTTATAGAAATTATTATCGAGTTAGTAAATTAATGTAGATATATTAATTTTATCGATGCATACACATCACTATTAGCTATACCATAGACAACTTGTAGACCATCGATGACAAAAAGATAGTGTTAGGATAAAAATGTACTTTATCGGTTTTCTATTTCTTTTTATAATTTACCGGTTTTGAAAATAAAATATATTATTATATGTATTAATAATTAAATTTAAAAAAAAACCCTTTCTGTTGCACTCCACAAAGAAAAAAATTTGTTAGGTATTTTAACGAAAATCCCGATTGCTCAGAACTTTACGTTTTTGTATTTATAGAGTTGACACTAGCGCCACGGCTGATGTCCATATTTTCCTTTTTTAGAACGCAACCCATAGCTGTCGCAACAATACCACGGACAATACTCTTGTCTTGACTGACAGTTATCAACACAGTTATAAAATCTGTCATTACAAAACCCGGGACCTCAATAAATTAAAGTTGAACAATTTAAATCATAGCACTAAAACGCTTAGACTTTTCAGTCATCATGCTTTTATATTCATTGTTAATTTGTGGATTTTGTGTATTTTACTCGTCTGCTATTTACAATAATAATCCAGGGCCGAAATATCCTCCAACAAAAGGTGAAGTTTGGCCTAAACCGCAGTATCAAAAATCGGAAAGGTATTATTTTACTGTAAATACCTCAGCGTTTAAAATAAAGGTAAGTTTTTAATTTTAAAACCGTACATAAACTTTTATTTAAGAAAATTTTGCTTGCTTATTAACAATCACCAGATAATAATAATGTATTATTCTAAGCAATAACTTTTAAAAGTTTCAAATAACACTTTTCTAAGCACAAATCTAAATAGTAAGTACCAAATAAAGTTTTATACTTTTTTAAAACGTTATTAAACCACAACAACACGGGCTTGACGAAGAATGTGCACTTCGCAAAATGCGCACTTTTGACAAGGGTTCCGCAGTCCTGACAAGGAACCCTTAATCACATCAAAGGCTTAAGAGTTTGTTTATAATATTAGTAGTAAGTATAGCAAAGTACGCATTTTGTGAAGTGCTCATTTTGTGAAGTGCTCATTTTACGTCAGACCCCAAAACGCAAGTTAAATACTTTATTTATTCCTACTAATTCGCAGTAGGTAAGTACCAGCGTTGCCAGACGTCCCGATTTTGGCGGGACGTCCCGATTTTTAAATCAAATTTAAATGTCCCGCGCGGGACAGGCTCGGTCCCGCTTTTCGGAGTGAGACACTCACTTCACCAGACTATTGTTTGAAACGCCATAATATTATTGTAAAAGAATAAAACTTTATTAATTTTTTTCTTTTTTTTATTCTAAAGACGAATTTAACGAGAGTAAATCTGATTTAAAATATTATTTTAATACATTTTATATGGCTACTTTTGCTATTCTATTGTCACGTAAACGTAATTTGAAATCAAATAAAAAGATAAATATTTGAAAACCTTCGACTATTATACGTTTTTTTAATATGTCCCACTTCTAACGGAAGAATCCCGCTATTTTCACTCAAAAAGTACCAAAGTCCCGACTTGGCGAAAAAAAACTGGCAACGCTGGTAAATACCTACCCTTTTTAAAATAATCTTTGCCATTTAGAGCAAATTTTATAAATGAGTTTTGGAATGTTTTGTTCAAATTATCGATTTTTTCGAAGAGAGGAGCCACGGGTGGAGTTGTTGACCACGGCACGTAGGTACTAGTGATGGGTAGCTAGTAGCTAGCTAACTAGGATTCACTTTCTGGTTACAGATCGTCAGTGGTTATAAAAATACAGCAGGTAAAAATAGTAGGGTAATGGTAAAGTTGGTATAAACTACACAGTTTTTCGAGTAGATAATAAGGACAACAAAGAAGAAAATCGACTAACAACGTGATTTTATGAGACTAGACTAGACAGGCTACCTATTATAAACTTGACGTTGAGCGCAGCTTTACGGAACAAGGAAGGAAAAACATTCCAATCAAAACTTTAGAGAGCTTATCTTTTTCACAGGCAACCAACCACACATGTCCAATTCTAGCAAAAGCGATAGAGAGGCACTCATTCATTATGAGAAACACATTCAATTTGGATCTAAATCGTAAACCTAAGACATCTCGTCATAGGCTCCCGAGGGAGACCAACTCTGAAGATCCTTATTATCAAGGCTTACTGAAGGAATTGGATGTTGAATTGATTTCACCATGCGAAGAATATCCTTACTTCAACATGGATGAAAGTTGTGAGTAATCTTTTTTATATTTGGATGGTTGGACAGCACTAGGCTGCTCAACAAGGGTGAACTGCATTTCAATCGTGTGCACACCGTTACAGATTACTTATGTACCTAATCGTTACATAGTAATGTCTAGTGGAACGTGACTTGTTTATTTACAGCTCTATGTTTCACTCTAGGTATCTTGTAAGTAATAGGTAATAGTAGCATCCCAATCTGCGTGAGTGAGAGAGATCCAAGACATCGATAAAAAGTTAAAGTCTAAAACACAGAACAGGCATCTTACGGAGTAGCCCCGTAATTTGAGAGACGCGTTTGATATGATCTATCTTTAGATTAGGGGGACCGCTTTGGCGGTCACTAATAGAACTATGAAAGATACTTTTTTTGTGCAGAGCGTACTTAAAAACTGAATCGGTCAGTTTAGTCCCTAAACTAGAAGCGATCACAATATCGGATCAATGATGAATTTAACATTTTCTAGAGGGGCCTTTAAGACAAACTCAAACACTAATCAACTAGGTACAGATTCAATCCTGATAAATAATGGGGTTAGCGACTTATTTTTAACTTGTGGACAACAGCTAAAAAATATTTTGATAACGAACTGCCATGCCACGGCCAGTTTGAAAGGTCGTTAGTTCATTCCCCTATATCGAACCGCTGGACTAATCAACTAGTGAACCCTCTCCTTGCACAAGGATAATATGTATAGAAGGAAGGAGAAATATAAAGAAAGTCTTGCGATGGTTTTACCTACTAAAATAAGAATAATAATTGACAATGGTACGCATTATAAATTCCGCGAAGACACGGGAGGTCCAGACCAGAATCCCGATAAATGAAAAAGAAAAACAATGTGTTGCTGACCCCAGATAACTGGGTTATCATATACCATCTACTATTACCGAATGACAAATTCTGGTCAACAAATAATATAGAAATAGCAAGATAGTTTTAAATTTATTTATTTAAAGGTATAACAGTAGTCTGTTACGTGGGGTGATTGGTTCCTATCTCCCTTTATAATAATACCAGAACACATTCCATCTATTTCTTTATTACAATGAATGTGATTAAATGGTTATTAACCATTGTTAATTATTAGCGTCCGTTTAGTCAAAGTCATTAATGTTTACCTTGGATCGTTTTCCACTTTTATTAGGTATTGAGTGGTCATCTCATACAATCTTAAAAGGGTTACGATAAGCTCACATAATTATGTATCGAACACTCATGATTTCTTACTTGAAAGAATGTACTTTCGTATTATAAATAATTTTAGACACAGGCAAATCAGATGACGGCACATCAAGGCCCGATTACCTCCAAAGTGGAGAGGAGAAGAAAATCAGATTTTGTTTCCACACCACATTTCGGCTTTGCTCAGCTTCGGTTCCAAGTCTGATTCAGAGTTATTAAAAACACAGAATAATATTATTATCCTCTTATCGCCTCTCCGCTATAGTGGAAACCGGACCTAAGATAAACACTAGCATCTCCCACTTATTATTATAATTACGTGCTATTTTGCCTGAATTGATGTGCTGTTGATTCGACTGTACCTACTCTTGTCACAGCACTTTGTGTATTTCAGATGAACTAACCATTTCAACAACAGCAAAACTTTTGAGCAGTTCTATATGGGGCATACTCAGAGGACTCGAGAGTTGGAGTCACCTGTTATACCTAACAGATGATAAGGATGGAGTAAGCATTGTAGGTATACAAGTGATTTAAAGAAAAATGTGTCTCATTAATCTACCTTCATACAAGTTACGCTGATTAATGATTTTTAGATTTTTTTAACGTTTTCATAGACATTTTTAAGACATTTTGTTTAGGATTCTTTACCTAAAATTAATAAAATTACAGGATATTTGTGTAAACAGAACGCATATTGCTGATTTTCCGCGATACGCCCACCGTGGGCTGTTACTGGACACGGGTCGGCATTTCATATCGATGTCCAACATCCTCAAGACCCTGGACGCCATGGCTATGAACAAGTTGAATGTGTTCCACTGGCATATAGTTGACGACCAAAGCTTCCCCTACCAGAGCGAGAAGTTCCCAGATCTAAGGTATCTAATTTAAAAAGGAAAGTTTTCGCTTGAGTACTAGAATCGACCGATATCTCACAAGTGTCATAGCTAGTAATTTCCATTCAGATAAGAAATAACGTACTATGATCAGAATGAACTTACGACCTTAATTAAGTGAGCTATACCTACGTTTAAGAAAGATAAGTCTTATATGAATTTTTCAGTGGCAAAGGCGCATTTGATCCATCCTTGGTGTACACCAAGGATGACATAGCGAGGGTGGTGCAGTATGCCACAGAGAGAGGCATCAGAGTGTTGCCGGAATTCGATGTCCCTGGTAAGTTACTGCAGCAAACCCAGATTGAAATATACAATAATTTACAGTAAAACTTTAAAATGAATCCCCATTGTTACAAGATACTCTTATTTAGCTTAAGTATGTATCGTATAAATATTTATCTCTCCAAGCTTCTCGATTCGCGTCGAGTGAAATAACAATTATAACTTACGCCAGCGAGTCTTATCACAATTCCATTGAACACATACTTCAATAATTGGTTAATGCGATCGATAATACTTGTAAAGTTACATTTTACTGAGTGCTGTTAGTAATCTCGTATTTAAAATGTCATTAGTTGTAAATATTAACTAAGTACTTAACTACGTTATCAAAGTTTCGTAAAGGTCTTAAAATAAAAATGTCCTATAGGTAGGCATCTAGGGATAAGGTAATACTGTACGTTACCTTTTATCCAGAACCCTGCCGAGCATTTATTATGAGACGAACTTGTTGCTAGCTCCCAACACACAACTTTTATTTGTCTCCAAGCTTATCAAAGCTTTATTGTTAACATCACAGGTCACACGAGGTCATGGGGTGAAGCTTTCCCAAACGTCTTGACAGAATGCTTCTCTGACGGCAAAATCGTTGGACTCGGTCCCATGAACCCAACCGTCAACACCACGTACAAATTGTTCCAGGAGCTTATGGAAGAAGTACAGGAGTGGTTTCCTGACAAATACTTTCATATTGGCGGTGACGAAGTGCAGTTTGATTGTTGGTAAGGGATCTTGGGGACATCCTTGATTCATGAAAAGTAAATTATTGATATTGGTTATGTTGGCTATTATTACCTACTTCAGGGAATCGAATCCAGATCTTCAACAATACATGAAAGATCACCATATGACAGCGACACAGCTCCATGCGCTCTTTATGAAGAATGTGATTCCACTTCTAGGAAATAATACGAAACCTATAGTATGGCAAGTAAGTTTCCAAATGAGTAGGGTCATGGAGGCAACAGTGACTCGGTCGGCTACAGTGGCTCAGTCATGTTTCGACCTAAAGGCATAGGTATATATATTTGTCTCTTTTACCGATTCAAAGGTCTTGGTACCCGAACACGTTTAAACCAGTTTGCTCGCCGGTCAAGTGCCGTGCGGAAGGGTGAGGGAATGTTTTTTGTTTTCGCGCCCACTAAAACATTCTAAGGTGAGTTTCGATTGTTTTCATATCTTTGTTTGTTGCTATAGGTAATAGCCGTTATATTTATCGGATAGTAGGTCTTGTATCAATTGTCTTTAATCCGAATTTTGACTTATTTGTTTTACATCTTGGTTTTTTTGATCAAATATTTACAAAATGGCGTAGAAGTACACAGTGACTCAATTTTAATACTTTTGTAGTTTATAGGAATTCAATATTTTTCTAACTTTAAATCGAATTTTGTTTTTTTATTTACAGAATGCCACGGAAAAAAACCGACAGAAAAATAGGGAAGAAATAAATAACGAAGAGATTGAGATGACTTAAGATCTTATAGGTAGCAATAAAAGTACTAAGAGTCGTGTTGAACTGTTGATTATAATAAGAATAGCTTGTGCAGTTTTGTTATTATTTCTAATAAAAAACTACGCGGAATGGGCATTTTCTTTTCATATAAATACTGCCGTACCACGTTAATACTGTGTACCACGGTAGTGAGTCAGTGTGTACACCTAGTAGTCCACAGTGGCTCAATTATCATTTTTTTGTTTTAGGTTCCTACTTTGACATAAGTAGTAAATAATGTAGAATCATGAGTGCTCAGTTACAGTTCAATAGTGTATCTAAAATGTGAGCAAATTTTAGGCCAATATTAAAGCGATATCTATTTTTATTAAGCTTCGAAAAAAAAGTGAGTCACTGTTGCCTCCCTGACCCTAATAGTCATTCCTAGATAAGCAATAATAGCTATTAATTCAAAATATAGGTCACACAATTCATTTTTAGTAGTATAATTTTCATTTTTAGGAAGTATTCGACGTTGGAGTGCCCCTATCCTCGGACACAATCATTCATGTATGGAAAAATGGATGGGTGGAGGAAATGGTCAAGGCAAGTTTTATCAGAGGGCTAGTGTGTTAGTTTTTATCAAACGCGCTCACTAGTGAGCATTGTTTTTGTACAATTTGTTATCTCATGCATTTTTTTAAAGCATTAATGGCATGTTTGCTTCCTTTTACATTCTTATTGCAAAAATGGTTTGCATTTTTCATTTGTTATAAAATGTTTATAATTTATGTCTATTTTAAATGACATAACAAAATATTATTGTCTTTTGCATTTCTTATTATTGTTAAGTTTTTCAATACAGAAAGTATAATATTTTATGAGGTATAAGAACCTATACCAATAAATAAGTAATTTATGAATAATAATTACCTACTTATTATTTATCAATCCTACTTTCATTCCTAGATACTAAAAGCAGGCCACCGTCTTATCTTCTCCGCGTCGTGGTATCTGGACCACTTGAAGACCGGCGGCGATTGGGAGGACATGTACATGGCCGACCCCCGGTTGATGGTGAACTTAGTGGACGATACGGCACCATTGGACAATATCGTCGGGGGGGAGGCTTGTATGTGGGGTGAAGTGGTCGACGACACTAATGTTATTAACAGGTGGGTAAGATTTAAGAAATAAAGCTATTTATAGCCAGTCATTATACCTAGTTAAATTACTTTAAGATCGTGCTGACAAGATTAAATTAAAACTTGATGAATTTTCGTTGCAATCTTTACATAATATGATAGTAAAAAATACAATAGCCCCGTCTATCTGTGGGCTGAGTGTGAGTTTACATCAAACGCGCTCACTAGTGAGCGCGTTTAAAAAATGTATGAAAATTTTAGTTTCTTGAAAGTTTCCCGCTAGGGGCGCTGTACAATCCGTCATTATATTTATTGTAATTTTTTGACGTGCTCACTAGTAAGCGCGTTTGAAAAAACTCACACTCAGCCCTCTGTCTGTCCGCTTATTCAATCAGCATTATCAATATCTGTAGTGATTCAAGAGGAAGGTTTATGTTACATACATTGCACTGTGCGAAGACAGGGTTAATCGCTGTAATTTTTTTTTAAAATAAAATGTTGTTTGATACCCAAAACAGGGTATGGCCAAGGACTAGTGCAGCCGCCGAACGTCTTTGGAGTGCTGGCCTCGCTTCCAATTCCCTTGAGAGGAACGTGAGGCTTAGCATCCTGGACAAGGCTCGTCATCGCATAGAAGAGCATGCCTGCCGCATGAGACGCCGAGCCATTAACGCGCAGCCTCCGAATGGACCTGGATTCTGTGTTGGAGCTAAATTATTTTAAACGCCGATTATACTTAACACACAGACGACTGCATAACAAACTGAATTCTGTATCATCTTACGTAGTGGCAATAAGAGCGAGTTTGCAAATAAAATGTGTACTCTGAAGTGTTGTAGTAGAAGTAGGTAAATTAATTTTGATAAAATATTTACCTGTTAGTTATTAGGCTAATTTAATATTATTACTTAATAAAACTATGCTATTTCCTAGGGTACTACCACAAACTCACGATTAAACCAGAAAGTTGTTTGGAGTTAACAGTATACTCAAAAATAACTGATAGTCCTTAAAATATTTATTTCTAAGCGGCATCAATGTACACATACAAATCTTTCAATTTATTTTATTTTATTTAAACTGATACTGAATGAAAACTTGTGGCTAGGCTGGATCAAACCTTTTGTATTGACTTGTGGAAATCCTTGGAGGAGGCCTTGTCTAAAAGTGGACTTCCTATAGTTGAAACCATTCCCTGGTATTACAGACTCCATTTTCGAGGAACCATTTTTGCAGTTGATAGTTGGAGATATTTAATAAATAAAATGATGATTTTATTTTATAAGATTTTAATAAAGTTTATCTTTGTTTGAATGATTTATTGACTATTATTTTCATTTCTTAATATGTAGTTTAAAGGTGTTATAATATCATAATTATTACGAAACGGTTCCTTTTTCCCCCACATTGGGATCGAACCAGGAACCTCTGTAGCCACTAGACCACAGAGACTGAAGTCTTGGTTAAATTAAACGTTCCGCTAATGTAAATCAAAATTGATGAATAATCAACTTCGATTACCATACTGTAAATCCTTTTCATGCTAAAACCAAAGCGCCATCTGCGATTTGTTCACACTCTTTTTAGAACTGAAATCTGGCGTGTGATGCTTATCTGTGGAAATCTTATAGAAACCGGTAATTATGAAATTAAAAACAGCCCTATTGCCATAAACAAAATGAAAGGAAATTCTCTATTTTGTTTATGGTTTGTGAATTGGGTCGATTATGTCATGGCGGGTTAGATGTTTTCGGCAGTTAATTTTTGTTGAATTTGTTTTGAATTACGCCGTCAATGACCTCGTTTCAACCGCTGTTGTTTAACATTAAGCGTATTTATATATTCGTGACCGTTTCATAAACTGTTCAAATGCTGAAACAATTGCAAATGGGCCTTCGCACGTTCATGCTTCTCGCATCTAAAGTATGGAGTTGTTTTTGTTATATGTTTAAGAAGCAATATCGAGCGGTAAATATACATTACAGTGTTTACAATGCTGTGCATATTTTGGTTTCTACGCAGATGTAAAAAGGCTCACGTGGTGTTCGTTTTCAGTTGGCGCAATATCAATCTGTCAAATATGAAATCTATCCACTGTCCCCGGTATCTCGACACAGGCTGAGTAAGTTATTCGTATTTATCAATAAGAGTTGCTATAACCAAGCTAACATCCTGTTTACAACCACTTCTGCTGCATCTGTCCTGTATAAATTGTCTATAGTCACGCTGATAATGAGGTTTCCTTATTGATAAAACTATAGGTACCTATTTGGTGTGTGAAAGTGACTATTATTATTACTTTACCACCTACTTTCACGTTCAGCTATAAACCACATTTTTAACTTAATTAGATTCTTATTAGAATTCTGCTGTAAACTAACATATTTTTATTCAAGCACTTGTACAGCTTATTAAATGTTTTAATTTTCAGGTTTAGTTAAAAGAAAAATGCTGGTATTAGATTTAGATGAGACACTAATTCATTCGCACCATGATGCGATGCTACGACCGACGGTGAAGCCTGGCACACCTCCAGATTTTGTCCTGAAAGTGACGATTGACAAACATCCGGTCAGATTTTTTGTTCATAAGAGGCCTCATGTGGATTATTTCTTGGATATAGTAAGTAGAATTTTATAACAAGTATAAATTTTTGGAACATGTTACATTCAAGTTAACGATTGCAATGCGCTGTTTTGCACATAAAATATGTACACATGGCTTCTAGTGTGTGGACTCAGTCAGAATATTGTCCAATCCGATTTTGTCTTGCTTTTGCTTGAGAAAAATCAGTGCCTTATTACATTTCTATCAGTTATTTTTATGCAGAACAAGGCAGGTATTTGATTGAAATCACACTGAGATGCTGTCTATTCACCATCAAATGTCAATGTACTAGATTTGTCTAAAATGTAGATCTAGATTTCAGATTATAATTAATACTTAGGTAAAGTCTGGTCGCCGAGCATGTAGAATTTCGTCCTATGTCCCCAAGCTACCCCCTTATCGCTCGCGCGTAATTATATTGCTGTCGCGCTCGCACACTCACTGCGGCCGCACGTCGGACAGTCGTCGACTTTAGACCCTTTCACCACAGAAAAAACTCATAATAATCAACCAACAGAAAAATAGCAGACTAAAGGCTGCTTGCCCTACTATTATACATTTATTAAAATTTAATCATTGTGGTAAGGATTATTACCAGCAGGAGGTCTTTGTTCAGCAGTGGAAGTCCATTGGCTGAAAGTTTAAAAATTCTAGACTGGCTTAATAAAAGTTATTTCATACTTCTACACATGGTTTTATGTGAGAAATATCATCTGGTTGTTACAATTACCAAAAATAATCTCCCATAACCATGTGTGGCACATATGGTACACTTAATACTTATGAATAATGTATGTACTTAAAATCTAACCAGTCCATGTGATAGTGCTAGGAATATGTAATATGTTAAGTAGCTATTTGCTGAGTTTTAGGTCCAGAACAGACGGTGAAACGCAACTGCAACGAAAATGATTCCTTAATTTTGCTTATGAGATGCTTAAGAGGGCTTTCTCATGGCGTATCCACACACAGGCGGCCCGGCCGGCGGCCAACCCGGCGGTCGTGCATCTTTTACTGGCAAGGCAGACTGAAAGCCGGCGGCATGTGTGAATACGCCATCATTTAGGCGTCAGACGCGATGTTGATATCTACTACGACAGGCATCCGCTACTGTCGCGCTTCTGACGCCCTATTGTAAAAGCGGTCTTAGGCGGTTATCACACTGCGCCGCCGCTATATGAAAATAAAAAATCCGCCGCGGACGCGTTGTCAGTGTGAAGTGCCGCGCGTGTTTTCTATACAAACTGAGGTACTTGCATACAATGATTAAATCTGTCACCCCGCGGCGGAGCGCGGCGCAGTGTGATAACCGCCTTATGCCCGTTTTAACCATCAATCCCTAATTTTTCGTTACCCCTATGGTAACACATAACAGGAATTTTGTTTTCTAAGGGGTGACTTAAAAATTAGGGATTGATGGTGAAAAAGGGCATTAGAATCGTCTTTTTTCATTGCTATGACCTATGAGTTTTGAATTCTTCTTCTTCTTCTTTTCGTGTCGACAACAAACCTACACAGTGTCAGCCCAAAACTCCGCCACAAGAGTGGCGTTGTCAGTAGCACTCATGGGGCACACTGAAAACCAGCGCCGTGGCCTTCGTCACCGTGGGCCACGGCATATGCTGAGTGGGGTCCCGTTGCAGTGGGCATCTTGTTGGTGAATGGGTGGCACTGCTCAGTTTACTCTTGTTTTTATTTTTTTCTTCTTTTATTATTATGTGCCACTGTCATGTCTATGTAATTGCCTGTATTTGTGTGATGTCCATTGTAATAAATGTATCTTTCTTTCTTTCTTTCTTTCTTTCTTCATCAAATCCTCCTGAGTGCAGTTGAGTTTTGAATATGATTGGATTATTATTTATTGATCCCATTGTATTGTCCCTTAGGTGTCTCAGTGGTACGAGCTGGTGGTGTTCACAGCCTCGATGGAGATATATGGCGCGGCGGTCGCCGACAAACTGGACAACGGCCGGGGGATTCTGCGGCGACGGTTCTACAGGTACTACTTATTAATTTGAACCTTGTTAAATAAAAAAAATACTTGGAGCCAAAGCACATGATGCGTTGCGACGGCGATGCGGCGTTAGAGCGGTTTCTGTCGTTACATAGAAATAGAAATGTTTTTTATTAGGAAAAGATTAGTGATCGGCCGACTATGGTCTTTGCCGACTAACCGACTAGCCGACTAATTGGTTTTCAAATTGCCGACTAGTCGGCCGACTAATCGGCAATGCCGATCATTCTAATACCTACTTGTCCGAAGAATAATATCTAGATTTCTCTAAGAAATAAGAATATCTAGATTTCTAAAGAGATAAAATTAAATATAATTTCTTGAGAAATGAGATTTCTTTAATATGAGAAAAAATAAAAAGCAACATTACAATTGCCTAACAGTTCGACGGCGGAGAGGTCAGAGGAGGTGACAATATGATCGCCTCCTGCTGGGTTAGGTTCCTGCACGGTGATGTTCAGCGAGCTGGGGGCGTGGGGGTACCCCCCCCCCCGCCTGCATAGCACGGACTACCACCACCGTCAATAGGCAGGGCTCGTCATACAGGTGGGCAATTGCCGGGATGGACTGTGAGTCTATGATAGTTGATGGCTTTGTCCAGATTTCCATAGTTCTTCACACTAAGGCGATCGACGGAGCTCAGCGGCTATTATTTATGTGGGTATTCCTCATCTTTCCGATGAGAGGAGCCCCACATAATTTACCACTTCCCCGTAGGATAGGTATGCAGTTCCATGCATATTTTCCCCGAAAAAAAGTCATAATTTTTATATGGACAAATTACATAAACTTTACACATTTTTGATAATTTCCTAGGAATTTTAACTAATCTTAACTTTATATGAATTTAGACTGATTGTCAAAGTTTTAAATCTGGTGAAACCACTTTATCCTGATTTTTTGCAGTCAAAAGTGGTTTAGATAAACGCCCTTGGTCTACCTCATAATCATCTTGGTGATTATGAGTTTTATTCGTTTACACATTTCATTTTTTAATGCGCCGATTATAATCCCCATATTTTGCCGAATAGTCGTCACTAGTCGGCCGACTACAAATGATGCCGAATAGTCGGCTTTCCCGACTAGTCGGCTACTAGTCGGGCCATCTCTAGAAAAGATACAGCTTTTAGTCTACACACAACCTGAATAAAATGTATTTTCAAATCATTAATTTATTGGCATGAATGAACCAAAATCAGAATCCCCAAAATAAAAATTATAGTATAATCTAATCTTCAATCAAAACCCATCCTTATTACCAAACTAGCTTTGTTCCCTGTTGGCATTGGAGCGTCAACAATACATTGAAATTTATGTCATTAATTCACGATTGCGAATACTAATAACTGATGGCGCAGCGCAGGTAAACTGCGCGAAATTTATCAAGACATAGTGTGAACGCACATTTTCAGTTAATTTCGCCGTGTGTCGCCCATACTTCGGTGCGCGTGTTCGCGTTTCTGTTAGATCAATTTCCCGCATAGTGTACCTGCCCCATGAAATTGTGGTTACAAGTTAACTTGCACGTGCGTTTCTTGTTTACCTGTGTGACCTTGATACAGTGATAAAGTAATAAAAGGGACAAGTCACGAACGCCGCATTCGTAAATTTATCGTTTCGCGCAATACGACTTTGTGGAATTGCCGTTTGTACGGTTTATATTTCACGGAAAGGAGACACGCGATCACACGATTTTGGCGATAGAGTTATCGTTAGATTTGCTTTATCATAATGTTATATTATCTAATATCTATAGATAATGACATTATTTATTTACGTATGTCATTGTGTGTACAAGAGAAAGTAAAATCGTGAGTTGTAGCATGCTACATTTTTGCATTGAGGTTGAAAGTTAAATTTTATTATTTTTTAATACAGGCTGTGTCAAAAAGGCTCAAGCTTTGTCTCAAGCCAAAAAAAGCCTGTTTGGACCACTGCTGATAATTTTCTAAAAGCGTTTCTTAAGACGTCAAACGTCAGCGAGACTTCAGATTAGCTACAGATTTATTTATATGCTCTGTCGCGTCATAATCGGCCGTTTGCGCGAAGTCGGCCGTTTGGTGTAGTGATTCGAAACGGACTACTATTCCGGAGGTAGCGGGTTCGATTCCCGCACAGTACAAACATTTGTGTGCATGAACATATCTGTTCGTATTGGACTGGGTGTTTTCTATGTATAATAAGTATGTATTTACAAAAACAAAAATATTTAAGTATGTTTATATCCGTTGTCTAGTACTCATAGTACAAGCTTTGCTTAGTTTGGGACTAGAAGCGCAGTGTAAAATCAAGTAAAATGTCCAAGGATATTTAAGGATATTTATAATATGCCAATGTCACCGCTCCAGTGCCGCTCCCATACCTCAGGCACTAACTGAGCTAATTACTAGACTTATAAATAAAAAAACGCTTTTTTCCAGACAACACTGCACCGCGGAACACGGGTCGTACACCAAGAACCTGTCGTCGATATGTGACGACCTCAACAGGGTCTTCATTCTGGACAACTCGCCCGGGGCCTACCGGGACTTTCCAGGTATGTTATTTAAACAAATTGAGACTTTAATACAATGGGCAAAAAAGTTAATTCTAAACAATACATTGATATATCGAGACAAATACAAATTAATTATTTATTTATTACAGCTTTACATTCCACATAACAGTTGTATTTCATTAATCTGTATTTCCTTTCTTTGTGGTCCCACTTGGATAAAAACCCATCCATCGTTTTCTACCTTTCCCTGCCGTTGGCTATGTGCATTAAATTTTTCCCTGCCTTGTTTGTTATGTCATTATCTTTTTTTCGGCCGCCCTACGTTTTTTCTACCGACAAATACCAATAAACCCTTTTAAATTCATGATTTTTTAACCATTTTTATGCAGGAAACCCTGTATATGTTCTAATTTTCAGACCCACACACACACACATTCACTACACTCCACACTCGCTACACTCTACTCCCACTACACTAACACTCACTAAACCTCACAAGTTCCTAGTAGATTTTGTCTTTTTTTTGTAAAATTTTTAGTTATTGTTAAATTTTTTTGCTTTTTTCTTAATTTGGATGTACTTTATAAAATTATGTAAGTATTGTTTCTTGGAGGAGGGCGTTGATCCCTGCGACACAGTTTTATACTTCTGCAGGGGTCATCGTTTTTTCATGTATTATGTACCCTTGTACTACTATACGAAAATAAATATAAAACGGCGAGAAATCACTGAACAGGTGAAAGAAAAAGATTGTGCTACCAATAACAATATAACCAGTTATTGTTCAAATATTATGTACAATGTTATCTAATATTCACTGATAAATAAGTCAAAACTCCACACGATAACATCTCAGTGAAGCCTTATCAACTTTGTGTACATATTTTGTTAATCTTGTTAAAGGCGTTTTCGTATAAAATATGTTACTGATATAATTTTGATGGTCAATGTTTTTGTACTTATGATTTTAAAGTCATTTACGGAGTACAGCACATTGAGCTAAATACTGTGAAATATTCTAAATAGAGTTGGGTGTAGTAGTAGTAGCTGTAGATCCTGGCTACACAAGAGTTGCAGTGGTGGGAATAGTCCCGTTAGTAGTGAGAGCCTCAATTCGCTTGTACCGTTTCAGACAACGCGATCCCAATCAAATTACAGGAGTGCTACTCCGAAACGCTGTTTACGTAGTTTCGGGTCTATCTGTCACCGTCGCTCATGCTGGCACCTCGCTTTGCGTGAGAGGTATGGCAACATTCGAAACTTCGGGTAACGTTTTTCGGGGTAGACCCGCAGTTGTAGTATCACAGTCCAGATCGACTGAATTGCACCATATTGCGTAGTAGTAAAAGTCCCAATAGGGTATTTTACTCCATGTAAGAAAAAGTATAAAAATGCATGTCTAATAGATTTCATAAAAACTAAACGGGAAACGCTGATATTTTTACATAAAAGTGCAAATAGAATTTTTAAATTCACTTAAAAGGTTTTTTTAAAAAACGCATCTCTTTAATCTGTTCTTCAAATGTCTAAAACGCCATCCGCCATGACGGATCCGCAGTGACATCACTCCGTTAGTAAACAAGTAGATTTTGGCTTGATTTATGTGTAAAATATTGAATTTGTTTGTGATAATATCACGTTAACGGACTTTTAAGTTTTATTTTATTAAAATGGCGTCATGGAAGACGGTTTTGTGAAAGCAGAAAGTTAAAGTAAAGTTAAAGAAACTAACGGAGTGACGTCACAAGCCGAGTCAGCATGGCGGCTAGCGTTTCCGCGCGAAAAGTCAAAATCATATTTACACTCAAGTTTTTAAGTCATATACAGGGTGTTACTTAACACCCTGTATAGGCTTTTAAAATTAAAATTCCACTGGTTGTCGCGTAGTGGGAAATTAATAAATAATCAACACTAGCGTACACAGATAAAATTACGGTTTATTTACTTTTACAAAAAAATATGAGGGCGGGGTTCGAATGCCCGACTGTGGGTATGCTTTCGCGGTCCGTGACTTCCCTGGCGAGGGCGACCGAAGGTAGATGGTGGCCGTAGGTGCTGGACGTAGTCGCTGTCAGCTGGAGGCGCCTTGGATCTCGAGCCGCAGATGGTACGCGTTTGCCTCCGCGTTAGTCCCGAAATTCGATCCCTGGGAATGAACATTCCAGCTTAAGCCACTTCCGGTCTCAACATCCGGAGACTGCAATCATCGTCAAACCAAGCCAAGAAAGTCGAGCCTAAGTAAGTAGGATAGCAGGCGAAGTGGCGATGAATGCAATCAGATCGGAGTTTACAAACACAGCATAATCAAAATGAAGTAAACAATATTATGATTTATTATTAGGTAGGTACGCCAAATGCTTTAAATTAACAATTTGTATGAATAATTACGCCAATAGCGAATAATTACTAACTGATCTCTGCTAAAGGAATTTGCGACATAATTAGGTTTTCAACAAAGCTGGATAGATAGGCACTAACTAATCGCAACTTGTAGTTACATTATCTGCTTAAAACTAAAGCGAAAGAAGAAATACTTGTTCATCACTTACCCTATCGGGGATGTATTCACTACACAGTTTTATCGTACTTATTTATGAAACGACTACTAGTTTTATTGTACTTTATAAGTTTGTATTTAGTGCATTTGCACTACACACTATAAATTATTTGAAATGGAATCGGCGCGGCGGCGATAGGCAGGTACGCGGCCGTACTTTTCAAGTTGGTTTGTCGAAATGAAGCCGGGGAGACGTGCCCCGGCCGTCGATTTTTAAAGGTCAAACGGCCTTAGGCACCGCCCATTAAAATCATACGATGTTTTTGACCAATGCCCAGACGCAATAAAGGATTGAAGAGAAAGCTGCTTAGGGTCCCGCGCGACCGATAAACGAACCATTAGCAAGGTCACTGTAAGTTGATTTATTTTATTTTAAGCTAGTTTTAAGTGATTTATGTAATTATTTGTTTTGTAAATGTTATTTATTTAGTGATAAGAATAAAATCTTGTTTACAGTTTTTTGTTGTTTTAGGTATTTGATAGTTTTAGTTATTTTTATTCATTATTATGTTAATTCAATTATATTTTATTCGTACAAAAATCAATAAATGTAATTATGTGACGTATAACGTTACATGGTTCATTATAACCTTAGGATTGATTTACAACATACACTGGTCATCATAAAAATCGACTCTCCCGCGACAAGCACTTTCAAACGTATGCATCCCCACTTCCCACCAATATTACTATACTATAATATATTACCATTTAAAAGCCTAGTTCTAAACTTCATTTCATTAAAGGAAAGGTTTTTACCCCAAAAATGTGTCTGTAGAAGAATCCAGTCACCTCTTCAAAAAATAGGTAGTTACGCTTGAGCCAACTTTTATGGCTATAAAACTGTTAAGTTGGGATTAATCGCTATCCATCTGTTAAAGAGGACACGTGAGATCATTATTTGGTTTTATAACCATAAAAATTGGTCTAATTGATCCCAGAGGTGAGCCCAAAGTGATGTCTTTTTTCAAGTTTTTCAAGTCACATTGTATATGTTAACCGTTTATTACGAAATTAAATGTGTTTTTCTTTAAGGATATTTATTGGGCTTTCAAATAACACCAATATTGTTGGGGCACCATGATTGTGTCAGTAGAAACGAGTTTTCCTGTAAAACGTAGGTGGGCCGATTTTTGTGATGACCAGTGTATTTCAAAAAAAGGTGTAAGACCCTATTCGCTCGTTCGTTCCAGACAACGCGATCCCCATCAAGTCGTGGTTCTCGGACCCGTTAGACGTGGCGCTGCTCAACCTGCTGCCGGTGCTGGACGCGCTGCGGTTCACGCACGACGTGCGCTCCGTGCTGTCGCGCAACCTGCACCTGCACCGCCTCTGGTAGCCCCGGTGAGTGTCGTGAATAATAATAAGTACTACGTTCGTTCGTTTCAGCCAAATGACGTCCACTGCTGGACAAAGGCCTCCTCCAAGGTTTTCCACAATGCACGGTCCGCATGTCGGTCTGTCGGTTTCCACAATGCACGGTCGCGGGAAGAGCCTGGATGCGGACAGCGCAGGACCGTTCATTGTGGAAAACCTTGGGGGAGGCCTTTGTCCAGCAGTGGACGTCATTTGGCTGAAACAACAACAACAACAACGGTCCGCATCTAGGCTCTTCCCTGCCCACGCTACGTCTTCCAGCCCGTGGTCGCCACTCGAGAACTTTTCTGCCCCAACAGAAGTTTACTTCGCGAAGGTATTTAAAAAAATGTATGCTCAATGTCATTAACAATATGGTGTAATTTAGCTTGTCTCAAGAGTCAAGCACCATTTTGTTGACAAACGTCAGTGATCGGCACTGCGCCGAAGCTATAGGGCTGACTTCGGTAAAATGATGTGACGTGAGGTGCCAAACTGCGGAAAATGGCGGAGGAAATACATGATTTAGCATGAATTATCATGAATAATATTAACTACTTATTTACCTCCCAGTGTCTTGAGGCAACTTAAAAAAGTACATTCTGTGTTTGCCAAAATGGCGAAACTCAAATAGGCACAAAAATATGACAGCCAGTCCAGTGTGTAATAATACAAGTAGTCCGTTAGCGCTGAGTGTACTATAGATCTACGCTTAACTTAGTCAGTGGCTAAGATATGGGTATGGCACGGGAGAGTGTTTTTGTCAGCGAGACGTCAGATTTGTATGCTGTCACGTCATAATATTGTGTCAACACCATCCCTCCTACACCTGGAGAGACTACTGGTGACCTGCAGCGCCGCCGGTGACGAGTGATCGCGATTTGGAATCTATCTGCTGCACGTAATGCCGGCTGTACACTCGCCGAGAGCCCACGAGACAAGCCGAGTGCGAGAGTGTATAGGGAAGCTCTCGCTACCTCGTCGGGTGTCTCTATTGCTCCCGTGTTCGCACATGGGGCTGTCTCGCGAGACATTCAAACGAATTTGGGTGAGAGCTCTCGGACGAGACTGACGATAGTGTACAGCTGGCATAATGGTTGCTGCTATACTTATACAGGCCGGCATTGTCTGGTCGTTGCTTTGAACGGAGGGCACATCGATATTAAGAATCCCTGCAGGCCACACATTTTTTGTCGTTCGATAGTTGAATCTTTTTTTTCATCACTCAAAATAATGTAATGTATTTATTTCAATATTTTTTCTTTTTTGTTTCAGATGATAACTGGCTTTTGTACAAAATAAGGACGCCACAGGCCTCCTGAACTTATTTATTATTATTTTTTCACTTGTTAGGCCGTTCAGCGCTTATTCAAATATACATATAGATATAAATATAGTTAAAGTTTTTTAAGTTTTGTTTTTTACGTAAACAAGTGATTACGCGTGTATAGACTTGCGTATAGAGTTACCTACAAATGTAGGGGAAGGCGTTTTTAAATGCGCCGTCTTGTCATCCAATTAGGTAAGTGGAACAATAATTTTGTTGGTATTCGTGGCTTCAAAACGTATTTTGACTGTTCTATAGAGTAATTGACATTGTAAAATTTAAATTACCTTCTACCAATATCTTTGAAAACCCTTCCAGTTATTGCAGTCACGAATAATGCTCAGTCGGATGGTCGTCTCTTTCAAATGTCAAATAACTGAGAAAGAGTACGCAACTACCCTGCTCAGCTGTATGGAAATGTATAATACATAGGGTTGTCTCTACACAGATTTAAAACAAAAAATTTGATGTTATCGCCGAAGTATTAGTACCTCAAAGAAGTATTAAAAATAATTAAATGTATGACAAAATTAATACTCATGTTAATTAAACGTAATAAATAAACTAGTATTATATTATAACTACTTGATTTTATTTATGAGTACAGTTGTTACAAAATTCATTAATTAGATATCATCGTCGTGTTATAAAAGTAAACACATTTTATAAACATTTACATTTTATATTGGTTTTGGTGTTCATTCTTAATAATAATATAATATTTCCAACGAAAACTAGTTAATAAATGTTTTTTTTTTACTTTATTAAAGTAAATAATTTTAAGACAAGTATCTCGACAGAAATATGCAGGCAACACAGTATACATGACAATAATACGAATAGTAATTGGATAGAGACAACCCTGTATTGATCGAATGAAACAGTGATAGAATCTATCTATCCTTATCCAGCATAACACTAACAGACGTGATACCCACCAAAATGCAACGCAATATAATAGTACCTACCTTCAGTTAAATAAAACAAATATTTAAAATATTCCTGCTAAGTCAACTGCATTATGTTTACAGTTCGCATATTTTTGTTGAAATCGACAAATTGTTGAGATATTTACACTTTAAATTAATTGGGCAATGTGTTCTAGCACATGTATCTTTTTTAAAAGGTGTCATCTCAGGGTAAAAAAAACTCAAGATTTGTGTTGGAAAAAAATATGCTTAACAACCCAACTTATCTTACAGTGAAGAATTAGTTTCTATATAACATTGTATTAATAATCGCGGTCAGTTAGAAGAGTGGTTTGCCCATTTTTAAGCGTCACAGTTGATCTCTTAGTTTTAAATATATTTTAATGTCTACAAGAAATACAACGCCACAAAAATATCGGATACCAATTGAAAAAAATAGCAAAAATCAGAAATGAAAAGTTCCTTTCGTTTTCATCCAGTCTTAAGTAAAGGGTTTTATTTATTTGAAAATCGGCAAATCACTAAGGCCTATCTCCCTCTATGTAGGTATAATGTAATATTTTTTGTCATTATACCGACATACACACCTCCTTCTTGATAGCAGTCTTGGATACACTATAACAAATGTTGCTCAACAAATAATATTTGTTGAGCGACATTTGTGACGCACACATAATATTATGTGTGTGATGTTGGCGAATTTTGTCCCATGTTTCCCAGACTTTGAAGAAAGAGGTGAGGGGTTTCAGAGTTGGGTAGGCCCAAATCGTGCACTATAACTTAAAATACAACAAAACAGGTTAATGACAATAGGGTAACTCTCCATTGTGTACAAATAAAGAACTCCGTTGCAAAGTCATTTCGTTTTCTAATAAATGTTACAGTTGTGTAATACTTGCGTTTGTAAAGTTTCAGAATTAATTTTATTTCAAAATACCATAATGATCCATACCGACATCAATATTGGGTCATGACTGATGAGCTATACGAATTATTTAGAAACTAAATTACTATACAAAGATGTTCAATATTTTGTTTAAAGTGGATTTGTGTTCTCTAATATTCTTATAAAACATTTATTGGCAAACGAAATGCAAAATTACAGAGTTTTATTGAACTTGTTACAGACTTATGTGGAGAATATTCACCCAGTTTTAGTATCTAGTTAATTTTCTAATTAATTCGTGTGTATTTCTGTTGAATCGTTAGAGAAATGAATGTTCTTTTAAAACCAAATAGTTGGAATAAATATAGTCTTTAGGATATACTTGAAATAATTATGTATAAATTGTATTTCCGGCTACTAAACTGTCCATATTACTTATATTAGATTTGCATTTTATTTCTATAATTGCATAAAAGTACTTATTGAAATCTATGTTATATTGTTGCAAATATTTCAGTCATAATCTTAGTTTTATTTAATTTAGGTAAATTGTAGCAATAAATTCTTGTAGAATAAAAGTCACACTTTTTTAAACAACAAAAACATGGAAACTTTTTTATATTAAAGACAAAAAATAAGCATGGGCAGTTTAGTCACAAAGCTAGGAACTCTTAGAAAGCGCTGATGAAGTGAAAACAGTATGTACTTGGTAAGATTTTTCTAAAATAAATCTAGTACTGAATAATAAAATATTAGCTTAGATAATTATAATGGATTGGTCATTCATGCCAGTGATTATTTGATACGCAACTGTACAAAAACATATACGTACTTGTAAAAAATGATAATAAATTATCAACATACGGTGGTCACTTCGTCTAGTGTAAATATAGTCCTTTATTGTTAGTTCCTAAAATTGTGAGTGGCGATTACTCACGTTTTACGAATTTTCTATGTTTTGTATATAAAACTGGACTTCCTTATTTTATAATTTTAGGTTTCGCAATTAAATAATTTCGACCGGGATTTCACTAAGACCACGTGACGGAGTTTAGCAATGTTAGTAACAGAAGAAAAACCAAAATAAGTAGTTGAACAGCCCACAATTACATTTTTCGCACATAAATATCTCACACAGAGATATAAAATTTAATACTGCATGACCCAAATTCAGAAGTTGTTTTCTAATTTCATAAATCGAAGACAATCTGGTTTTCCTACTCCCTCGAGAAATACATGGATTTTGATTTAACACCTGTCACAGAAATCATGCAAGTAAGATTTCATTTGTTTTAGTGACGTCCCGGTCAAAGAGAAAAGGAAAATGTACTGCAATCATGCTGTTTCTCATATGTTACATGTAAATAATTAACAAGTAGGCATATCAAAATGTTCCACTGTTGAAATTCACAGGGTGATTTCATTACGAAGTGAGATTAAAGGTAATTTGTGTTTGTTACAATACCTATGGTGATAAATAACTTACCATTTAATGGTGTCTCAAATTATATAAATTATTTTTTAATTTCTGAATTGGTTTAGTCAAAATTATTAATAGGATTCACACTTATTACCTATTTTGAATGTGTTAATTTTAATTTTACCTTTGTCTTTAATTTGGTCGAATTCATTTAGCAAATAGTTTTAGTTTAAAGCATCTGTAAAATCTAAGGAAAGGGTAACTAATTGTACCTGACTTCGTATTTGAGACACCTATATTATAATGATTATGTATGAACCATATGCAAAATATTCACAAAACGCATAGCACAATGATAACTATCGAATCAAGCTGAATTCATTATTTTTTCTAAAAAAATATTCTAATCATTTTCTGTTGAAATACCATGTACCTACATAAAATGTATTTGCAGATGACGGAAGGGCCGGTAGGACTTTATATTCAAATTCAAACAATGTTAATTAGACTTCTTTTCAATGTGTATGGATTACGAAATATTTCAACTATTGTACCCTTAACCGACTGAATACATTGGTTGAATATGAAAAGCATTTCTAACTCCGTATGTTTGTTATTGTTTTTCAAGTTCGAAATAATAACTTAAGAAGACATTACAGATGCAATCTTTTTCAATGTTAAGTCAGGTAAAAATAGTGATAAATAAAATAACTGTGAAAAATAATGCTAAAACTTTAGTTGAAATATTTCAAATGTCTGAAAGATGTATTGTTGACCATAGTAAGGACATTCGAAGGCGGCTACTGACGCCAAAAATTGTATAATTGTGGTCTCAACTGGTTGTTCAAAGTTCAAAATGCGATTTGTAATATAGCAATATTAAATCGATTTCAGAATTTACTTGTTTAATTTTAAGTTTTCCTCTAGCTACCTACTTATTTGAGTAATATTGAAAAAATCTACCTACGACTTAAAAGCAAGTATGTTGTATTTTAATGTGTATCTTTATGTCCCAAGTGGTCAAACTCAAAGCAAGGTATATACCAGAGGTGAGACTTGGAAATGTGTAATGTTTTCTTCTGCCAAAAGTACTCCTAGCTCACACTATCCCATGTTCATATGAACATTCTGAACCTTTGCCAGGCTACACACGCGGGTTGGACGTGTTGTTCATACTATTTATAAAGTTTTGTGTCCACACTGGCACCCGCGTGCGTTTCATATTATACAGGGTGTTTGGTAAATGGGTATATGAGCCGACACTAGCCCATGTTAACATGGTCATATAAATGGTATGGTGAAGTCAGAAAATTGATATCTTCAGTTTAATTATTTTAATTTTCATACAAATCGGATTTTATAACATTTATTTTGTATGAAAATTAAAAAAAATAAAATGATGATATCAAATTTCTGACTTTACCATAGCATTTATATGAACATGTTAACATGGTCTAGTGTCGGCTCATATACCCATTTACCTAACACCCTGTATAAGGTCACCTCCAAAAGACATACGAGATTTAAGGGACTAATAAAACATTTAAATTAAATTGTTTTAGATAATACATATATATATTTTTACAATGCTAGTTTTCGAGATTTTTTGATGTTATGACGAGTGAACTCAAGTCACTCGAAGTGCTCAGCGCGGTTCCGGAGGCATGGATGGCATCGATCGTGCCAGACAGTGCATCCGTGTACAAGGACGTCACGTCCAGCAGCTTATGTAAATAATGTGAAAATGACAGAGGGCCGATAAACCAAATTAAGTACAGGAAGCTCTTAACCCTTAAATGCNTTTAAAGCAGCAAGAGCGGCCTCAATTTCCTTTTCAGATAGCGAGCCAAACATGCTGAAAAGAAAAGACAAATAAGCAAACCATAGAACAATTTTATGGCATAAACGCATGGTGTAGACATTTGGCTACATACACAAAAATCAAGTCGAAGGCACATTCGGGATCGATTACCAAAAAAATAAGTTATAATAATGAATTCTTACATTATTTCTAACACGCATGTATTTTTTTCCAATCGTTTTAGCAATTAATTCTCACTGAATCCGAAATTGAAATACCACAAATTTTAACACTACCAATTTTTTCTCTTTCGCAATCGCTACGTCAAATATCGGTTATTTTTTTTTTCAAATCTACCTTCATTTGCGTTTTTTTTATTTTTATTATGATGTTTTCTATGATATTAGCATACGTTCAGAAACGCTTATAAAATGTGTTACTTTTTATAATTAAAAAAGTAGTTCGTAGACATATGGCAACACTATGCATTTAAGGGTTAAAAATATTACATTTAGTTTGTTAGGAAAAGTAAAAACAGAAACTAGCCTATTTTTTTGGTTAATGCTAAGGTCCAATTTTTCTAATATAATTAGATGCCCTATTAAAATTTCGTCTGTCTTTTGGAGGTGACCTTATATTAGTAGGTACTGTGTAGGTACAGTCAGCGTAAAATAGTTCGTGGACACCCAAGGTAGGTAGCCATTGGTTGTGTTATAAACTTTTTGACCACGTTTTGTCACGAACTATTGGACGCTGACTGTACAACGCGCCGCGACGCGTGCTCAGTCTGGCCAAGCACTAAACGAGGTACATATTGGGATTGAAATAAAATAGTGAAATAGCTCTTGAACTCTTTAATTTGACTTGATGATGATGATTAGAATTTTGTCCAAAATTGTCAATTACTGATGCTATCATTCAAATGTAACAGAAACTTTTTAGGGAGCACCCAAAGTATCTAAATTCGTTATTAGCTGTATCACACAAAATCACTAGTGCAGCTGTATAGTATTATCCTGTAGGCCAATTTTATTACAATGGTGATGGGCAAATTACTCCCTATTAATCACTATAACAATGTCCATATTTTTAAATATAATTTTACACTGGTTTTATAACATTCAGGTCCTACATAGTTTTAGTTAGACCATTACTTTTAAGTAGATGTTTAAATCAATGCAATCAAAAATACATTTTCATTTTATGGGCATCAATAAAATAAAATGAAATCTATACCACATACTGAGTAATCCTCATAACTTTACTTTTCACAACATTTTCTGTAAGAAAGTGTATAAAACACTATCAAGTTAAATTATTTTATTCTTAGGAGAAATGAAACTTAGAAAAATGTTTCTCCCTAAATGTAAATGTGTATGAAAATTTTTATACCGGTAACAACTTGTTTTGTCTTACTTTATCAACATTAAAGCCCATTTCAATTCAGAAAATCAGTTTTATGAGAAAACAAAACTAATAATTTATACAATATGAAAGTACTGAAACCTAAGCGGGAACTGATAAATTTTAATGAATTAAAAACATTTCACGTATACAATAAAACTAAAAAAACTGATGCATAAACTACTAAGGAGTACTAATGAAATTATATTTTTTGTAAAGAAATAGCAAATTTTTGCAGTCCTTATAACAATACAAACAAATGTTTACCTTCAAAATTATGTCCTTATTTTCAAGAAGTTCATTGCAACTAAAATATTCACAAAGCCACTATCTCTAATTATCTCCAGGAGACAATTTAAATATCATACTTTAAAAAAAATAAGTAATTTCAATGAATTTCATATTATTGAAAAATCTATTATTGCAATGAACTCGTAGTTAAAACTAAACTAACCAGTAAGAAATGTAGTCTTTAGTTGACTGATTCAAGCTGAAGCCAATACATATAATATCACAAACGATCGCTCAAGAGATATCATTTAAATGTCAGGCTGACTACAGACAATCCATCACTAAAATTCATTCTGGATACAGATTTAAATGATACAGTCAAAGGTTTAAAACTTATTTAAAAATACTCGGTCGAAACAATGAGTTACTACAAAACTATAAGGTCTACATTTTAGTGGATTTATACCTCAAATTACAACTGTACATCGTGAGCAACTGGCAATATCAGCTGCTTGTCCAAAAGAATGAATTTTATGACACAGAGAAAGCCTTTTCTGAAAAAGATTTTACATAGGCTTCATGTAACTTGTTCACAAAGTCAGCATCATGTTTTAAAAGATAATTAAAAGCTTGAAGAAGCTGGTTTCTAGTGAGAGGTTCAGGGGATGGTTGGATGACATCTGCTCCGGAACTAGCGGTGAACATAGTCGGCGGCATCAGAGCCGGTTTCTGCTGGGAGTTCAGAGTGTTGATCAATGGATACATCCCCACGTCATCCATCTTGCTTCCATTAAAACTGCTGGCGGAGAGGCTCACATCCTGAGATTGATTCAAGTATGAAGCCAACGGTGACGTCGGCTTGGGCGACGATATGTGCATCAAGTTGATATCTAGATCTAATGGATTCGGACCATTAGTCTCAAGAACATCTAACGTCTGCCCCTTTTTCAAACCTGATATCCTCTGCTGGCTCGGCTTTTCAATCGGTGTAGATTTTAACTGATAACTGCTACACTGCCGGATAGAAGAATCGGTTAAGCTTCCATTAGAGCTTTGACCTTCTTGAGGAGTAACAGAGCGTTGTTGTTTCTCTATATGCTCGACAGAGTGGGCCGGGTTGCTCATGAGCCTCTGCAGTAGCAGGGGCGCCTCGCGCGCGTCGGACTGCCGGGGCCCGAATATCCCAGGAGACGGCAAAGCGGACACAGACGGTATTTGCGAAGACGCGCCGCTTCCGGCCTTCGCGAAGAAGTCCATCACACTCTGCGACGCCATGTCTGGTGCTCGCGCCGGGTTAGATTCCGCCTTGTTACCTTGCCCCTTGTTGGAGTTGAAATCGTCTTGCGCCTTACTCAGCATGCTAAATATATCGACGGGTGCGGACGGCGTCGAACTGTACACAGGGTTCGGCTGCGCCATGTTTTCACCGGGAACTTGCTTCACGGACTCCTTCACCAAGGAATTCAATTTCGTAGCTACTCGAACACACTCGTCCTTATCGTAAAACCATATGCCGTAGATGCGACACTTGGCGTTTCTATACAACAGAAACGGTGCCTTCAATTGTAACTCTATTCCTTTAGACACTGGTTCAATTAAATTATTCGTACTCAATCTGTTCATAATCACCAAACTGTGATACGGCTCCCCATTTCTACTGTACACAAACAAAGCACCCTCAATATCAGTTTTCTCCCATTCGTTTTCTTCGAATGTATAGAGCGCAACGTGGGTAGCACTGTCAATTATTTCTCTAGCGTATGGATCTGCCCTCTTTAAAGCAGCGAAATTCATACGTAGACCGGTGTCAGCCATTTTATAGCAATAAAATACGAGTTTTTGTATAGCAACCTAGCATCACAGCAAAATGACAAGAACGAATAATCCATACTCTCTCTCATCTGTGGAATAATCTCGCCATATTGCAACGAGTGTTTCGTTTCATGAATTTTCACTATGAACAATAAATATATTTTTCTACCTCCTTTTATTTATATGTTTTTATTATAAAACCAAATTACACCATATGTGTATATAAATGTTAATTTAATATAAAATACAAGATTGGCTTGAGTAAAACATAATTACAAAGTCTGTACAAAGACGCGTGAGGAACAAAACGCAATTTAGCTTTCGTATGATGATAAGTGACGTCAGCAGTCAGCATTTTCACGATGAATTTTTGAGAACTCGATAGCCGTATGTCGATAATTCCCGGTGATATTATGAAAAATAAAATACCCATTAAATGTACCCTCTAAAATGAGTAGGTATACTTGTTTTCTTTTTATGTGTGTTAGTCATTTTACTTATTGCTGTTACACATTCGCAATTTAAATTGTCTTAAGTAAGCTCATTTTAGGCCTCAATATTACCTACCAAACCGAACAGTAGACCTATGTATAACAAGACGACGATTAAAATATAGCTAGACCCCAGGCAGACAAGTTTATATATTTTTTAAAAAAGAGTGAGACTATTTTTTAATGCAAATCTATCAGAACTAAATTATGTTAACAGGACCTAACCTAACCTAACCAAACAGAGATTATTCAATTTTTTAAATATCCGACCTGGGAATCCACCAACCCAAAGACTCCCGGATCGAGATTTCAACTCTCTTATCACTAGACCAAATCGCTCGCGTCGTGTTTTTATATTCAACATTTTATCGATAATGTATACAATGTCCATCCTTATTATAACCTAAACGGCTGAATCGAATGTCAATAATAATGTCATTTGTGAGTTTACGCGTGTTGATGTCGGTGGTGGTTTCAAATTAATAAATTAAATACTAACTTTTCTCATAACTAATAAGCATAAAATTAATATTTTAATAATATTAAACTAGATTACCTTGTGTTCTATAAGTTTTGGCGTCGTTTATAGTTTCTACCGGCTGTATAAACACGTTCAAAGTTTTTAAAAGTTAGTTGTAAATAAATTGTTTTTCTACGATGTCCGAAGCCAATGTGCTCGTAATTGGTAGCGGAGGCCGAGAGCATGCCTTGTGCTGGAAGTTGGCCGACTCCCCGTTCGTAAAGCGTATTTACTGTGCACCTGGAAGCGTCGGCATTTCCACCACGAATAAAGTAGAGAGTGTAGATCTAGACATCAATGATTATCCGGTAAGTTTCCAATTGGAATACGTTTTTGGTAATATAATCAGGAAAATATGTAAATTTTGCGAATATCGTAAACAATGTCAAATGAATCAACAACTAGTTTATTCTAAATTCCATATTTTTTGTGCTTTCTAGAATTTAACTGGCAGCATTAAGTTAAATAAGTTTCAGAGTTTTAAAAGAGTTTAAACTATTTTTAAAATATTTGCTACCATTTACCTTAATTTTTAGTTTCCGAGATATTTCGGCACTGTTGCAAGTGCCATGGTGACTATAAAAGTTTAAAACAATATATTTTAAGCTCAAGTCCCTTGTTGTGCTAAAAGGCCTTGTAAAAGCTACTGAACTTGTTATTTGATCGTATTGAAAACAAGTACACACCGCACAAAATTAAACTTCATTTAGTGTCAATTGATATGAGCCTCTTTAATAAACATGCCCTAAATCATTCCAAAACAACATGCTATAATATTTTTTTTTTTTTCTTCTGTGCTTCATCTGCAATCAGTCTTCCGACTATGAGCGGATGAGTTGTAGTGCCCTTTGCATGATAAGTGTCTTCTCCACTGAGAAGACTACTTCTTTATGTATTTCTACACTCTCCGGTGCAGACTTAGGATGTCATGCCTCTTGAGGCGTTTACTATAGCTTTTTTGGAGCAGTTCCGAGGCCAGCTCATTGGGGTGCAGGGCCAGCCGTTCTTGGTAGTTTTCTGCAGTGGATCGTATTTCCTCCAACACTGTGTTCATCTGCAGGGCCTCGTGGATTTCGGTGTTTGTAACTAACCATGGGGCACATGATATGGTACGCAGAATTATATTCTGAAGCCTCTGTATCATGGAGAGGTTTGAGTTGCATGCACTACCCCACAGCTGTATTCCGTACATCCAGATGGGTTTCAGTATGGATTTGTAGATTAGCAACTTGTTGTCTGTGGAGAGTTTACTGTTGCGTCCGAGAAGCCAGAGCAGCGACTTATATTTAATATTGAGTTCTTCTCTCTTTGCCTTAATGTGGTATTTCCATGTCAATCTGCGATCGAGGTGCATACCGAGATATTTTACTCGGTCGGTGTGAGGTAGAGTATTATCCCCAAGATGAACCGGTGGACAATCCCCTCTTTTGAGGGTGAATGTTATGTGCATGGATTTAGCTGCACTTGCCTTTATTTGCCATTTGTTTAGCCAGGTGTTGATTTCATTCAGTCCCCTCTGTAAGTCCTGTGATGCAGCCGTTTGATCTTTATTGCAGGCGATTATCGCAGTATCATCTGCGTATGTAGCTATGGTAACCCCCTCCACATCCGGTAGATCCGCAGTGAATAGCGTATACAGTACTGGACCTAGCACAGACCCTTGCGGGACACCTGCTTTGATGTCATGGAAGTCAGATGTTTCTCCCGATTCTTTAACCTGGAACAATCTCTCTGTTAGGTAGGAGTGAAGAACTTCGTAGTAGCTGTGAGGGAGACCATTTTTTATTTTGCTAAGAAGGCC